TAAAAGAAAAAAAAAAGGTAGAAAATAATATTGCACATGAAATTTGAAGATAAAGCAAATAGCTCATTCCAACCCCATCTCATCTCCAGTTTTAAAAGTCTTACTGGAAATAGTTTGAATCTTCAACTATGTGGTAGTAACCAGCAGATTCAGCACACGATGAAATACAGTCAATAATGAAATATGAGGTGAGTTGAAATCAAGAGAAAATAATTGGTAAGAACCTGGCAACCACCCCGAATAGCTTCCAAGACAAGGTACTTTAATTGTTCTCTGCCGATTGTAACATCCTTCAAATATTCTCTTGACAAAATGATCTGCATTGAAAGGTGATGCGAACTTTAATCATTACCTCTACAGAATAAAAGATTGTTTTGCTGATTATTCAATTAAAAACAAAAAGTAAAGACATTACCACAATAGTGCTTTTACCGGGGCCGGTGGGGTGGGGGGAAGAATATCATCAACTGTCAAACTTGCGATTATATTTAATATTAACTAAGCAATCCAATTTCCTAAGACGAGGTTTGTAGTTATACATTAAAATTGAGGTTCAACCTTCTTCTTTGTCCCTATTGATGCAATATAATAATAGAGGTAGTTAATAAAGAACTCAGGAACTCAGTGAGTTATAGTGCAAGTAGTTATTCATTGGGAACAGATCCTTTACTTCAACAATCTATATCACGGCACGCCAGCTTACCTGAGTTTTTGCAAACTCTATTTCATCCTCAACCATTTTCAAAACTTCCCTACTCTGTTCTTGAAATTGTGTAGCAATTCCTACAGCTGCAACACGATCTTCAAAACTCATAGGAAGATCTGCACTGCACAAGAAGTTTGTCATAGTCGAATCAGAAAGAGAGATGATTATATGTTTCACTTCACTGACAAAACATCTACTATACCTTAAATTAACTGCAATCCTGTCTAACAAATGCTCACGAACAGCGCCCTCTTCTGGGTTATAAGTAGCAATTAGGAGTGGTTTGCATGGATGCCTAAAACTGATTCCTTCTCTTTCAACTGTATTGACTCCTTCAGTCAATACATTAAGCAGCAAGTTACTAATACCCTCGTCTAAAAGATTGATTTCATCAACATACAAAACTCCTCTGTGAGCTTCAGCAAGAAGACCAGGCTGAAAAACAGTTGTCCCAGTTTTTACAGATTCTTCAACATCGACGGATCCAAGGAGCCTGTCCTCTGTAACCCCAAGTGGAATCTGCAGCGACATTATACTCGGTTCATTAAACAATGAAAAATGGACTCTATATCGGACAACCAGTGTTTTGATAAGTACCTGAACGAAAGGAGACTTAACAATCTGCGTTTTGACATTACCAGCTGAGTCGTATTCGACATGATCAGCAAGGCCATCCTCCCATCTTTAGATTTTTTTTTTTTTCAGGTGAAAGAAAAAACACAATGAGTGTTATAAATGAATGAAAATTGAGGTATAGATTAAACTTATTTCGTTCAAAAAATAAATTCTAAAAGCATATTAAGTTGCTATATTTCTCTAAAACTACATTTAATTGTTGCTCCATTAATCTTAATCGAGAGCTGGGAGCTACTTATACAACATATTGCTCGGAAGAAACCGAATAATTGGGCTCGCAAGATAGAGCATTCCAAGGTCGAATAAACAAGGTGCAATCTCCTTTAAGTCCATAGAAATCAGTGGATCTTTTAAAATTCCATATCCCATGTCCATCCCACCCCCTAACTAACATCTGCGGTATTGCTTATCGGGTGCATAACAAAAGTTTTCAAATGACAAGTTACTTTGAAATCATACTTCAAAAACACAGCTTACTCTTCTGGACATGATGGATCGGCATTTGCAATTGACCCGACGACTACTTCAATAGGTGGCAAAATTGCGTGTAATCCACGTGCCATAACTGTTTTAGCCGTTCCTCGCTTTCCAGAGATGGCAATGCCGCCAATTTCACGGTCAATAGCTCCAAGCAGAAGAGCAGTTTTAATCGCATCCTGTAAAACAATTAACGATAGATGCATAAATTAATCAGCGACAGTGAAATCCTACACACATTCCGATGACGAAACACGAAAGAAATGGCGATATCACAGATTCCGAAACTACTCAAAGGCTCATGAAAACAACAGCAAACAACCATCAAGCGTGTGCGGTTGGGATTGAGAGAGACGGAGATAATTACAGTACTTGGCCAACAACTGCAGCGAGGGGAAAATACTGTCTGCCATAGGAAGTCGCGTATGGCTCCTCGGCCGCAGCTGCAGCTCCGTTGGCGGAGTCGAGGACTGCATTTGCAGAGGCGCGAATGCTGCGAAAGAGGTGGCGCTTTGGGAAGAGATGGGGAGAGGGAGATGGAGAGAGGAGAAGAGTGGGCAATCTGAAGGAGGGAAGGAGAGAAGATTGGAGATGGGGGAGAGCTGTGGGTGACATCGCCATTGCAGAGAGACAGAGAGAGAATCTTAGCGCTCTCTTTCTTTATTTCTTATCCATTTGTTTCGTTGTATTTATACGACCGGTTATCAGCTGCGGGCTGTTGGCCTCGGCCTTCTGCGTGAACTTAAATTTTGTATAACTACGAGAACAAAAAAATTTCTCCTTCTCAAAGAAAAATAATTAATTATATGTTTTTTTTGTACGATAAATTGGAATATGAGAGGTTAAAATCTAACGGGAATCAGAGTATTTGATTTACTTGAACTAAGTTTACATTAATTATTCGTTTTTTGTGGTAGTCAACATGAGAAAATGTACTCATTATTTATTATTATACTTTTTTTTTTGTAAATTTAAATACATTGTGAGAAATATATGGATTTCACCCGTTGAAATGGAGTACAAATTGAACAAAGAGCCAATCAGATGATCGTTAAAAATGTTAATAACACATATAAAACATACCAACAACAACAGAAATACATGAATCTTGTAAAATATATCCAGTCTAATAATTCATTTATGAAAATAAATTATTAACACATAAGGAGTTTGAAGGAATATTATCTCACAAAGTTGAAGTTGTACTAATTATGCATATTTTTACAAGTAGTTTTAAAATTTAAGCAAAATTTTAAAAATAAAATAAAAATAGTTTTTGAAAACACGTTTTTTTTCTATCCATTGTAGTACTTTAAAAAATATACACACTATTATTAAATTGAAAAACTCGGGTCCCGCGTAGGATGGCCCATCTAAACGCAATTGGGCCAAACGAATCTTAGGCCCATACGACCCTTAAGGTCCAAGTTCGATGACAGTAGCCGAGGCCCATCCACCACCTCAATAATTAATTGTTTTCTGTTTTATATATATTTAAATAATTTATCCATTTAAAAAAGTATTGTCCAAACTAGAATAGAAAATATTCAAGTATTAGGACTGACAAAAACACAATTTTTAAATAATATAATTGTCAAAAAAAATATATCTACTGTAGAAGCGCTTTTAATAAAACTTTTATTTCAACCCGACAGAGCTACTAAAATTAGTATAATTAAACTAGTCAAGACATTACTTATCTCTTAAAATTTGAAAGTTTCTGTTGAACTAAAAATATGAAGAATAAAAAAAAGTAGGGTGGAAAGATGCGATGGAGAAAGGAATGAAAATTGAAGCAATGGAAATGGGTCCAAGTCCAACCCAAAGGAAAGTTTTTGTGGATGCGGAAGTTGAAAAGGCAAGTGGAGAAAATTTGTTTTTATGATTTGGTTAAAACGAGAAGTACTTTATGTCCCTTAAGATGACATAGTACCACTCACGACATTAAGATACTACCTACTTTAAATGTATCAAATTTGAACTCTGCACTGATCATAATATTACTGAGTCGAGACAACAAAGTTTGATTACAGGAATATACTAACATAAGTCCTACGATATCGATCCGAAAAAAAAAACAAACAAACAAAAAGAAACACTTTTTGGAATGGTGGTGGGATCCCTTCTACTGGTGAGACCAAGATGGGCATGTGCTCTTAACATGCCAATGCCCTTTTCAGTTGCCCATTTGCTTCCCCCAACCACATGGCTCTTATGCTTCATTCTTATGCCTCTTCTTTCCCCAATTAAATGCTTCCTAATTCCACTTTCTCCCTCTCGTAAAAGTAAACAATGTTATGGATCTAAATGATCGATATTTTAATCCATTTGGGATTGACGGCTTATTATTTTCCATACCAAAATTTACCTTTTGAACCATTCAAACAACTCCGATAGTATAATACTAGTTGTTTGTTGGTTTTTTAATTTCACAATTTATTCAATTATATTCATTTTTTCCCACTGATTTTTATTACCTCTTTCCTGCGATGAACAACACAAATGAAAATCGATCTTGCGAACTTTATAAATATTTCAATAGCTATCGACAATGTTACTTTATTACTTGTTTTATATTCATGGACGTTGATTGATTAATCTTACGAACAACCTTCTAACCTTAAAATATTTTGTTGTTAAGAAATTTGTAGGATTTTAATATTCTAAATAGATGGTGACTATGAAATTTGATTTCATTCCTTCAAATTATTTTTTATTTCTCTTATTCACTTGTCCTAATAATACTAGATCAACTCATGATGGTTCATCATCCACCAACGTTATTAAGTTCTCGTGTTAATCCGGACAAATTTTGTTTGATGTATGTTACAATGGCTGCCTAGTTTAATAATCTTATTAAAAACAAACAAATTTGAAGTTAAAAATTTATGAAACAATGTATGAAAATTGAAAGAGTGCATAAATGGGTTTTGACACCTTGAACATTATTGCTAGTGGAATTGTCATGAGTAGTGAATACATGTAGCTGTCAATTGATGGAGAAAGCCATATGGTCACAGATACCCTTTATCAATATTATTTTTTCCTTGGAGAAAAAAGAAAAAAAAAAAAAAGAGAATTGAATACATATTTTCAGTGAAATCCACTTGGATAATAACGGAGATTCCAGCTTCCAAAAAATGGCTATAAATAGAACCAAGTTCTCAATACTTCCATCCCACAACAAATTAAAACCCACCCCTTTATATTTTCAGTCCCCTTTGAAGCAAACCATACATGGCTTCCATTTCCAGCCTCCTCCTCCTAAGCCTTCCTCTCATGTTTCTCTTCTTCACACACAATCAGGTAATACATGCATTTCAATTCTCCCTAATCTCTTAAAAAAAAATTTATGTACCAACCCGTCTGTAAAGTTCTCGTTTCTTGTTTTTCGTTTTTATTTTTCTTAATAAATTTAAGTATTTTACAATTCAGTATGTCATTTGTTTATCTTTTTTTTTTATAAGAAATTTGAAAACAAATCCTTTCTTATTTATTAAAAATGAAGAAACAGAAACAATAAACATCAACGCTATAAAACGTGTCCTTCTTAGTGGGAAGTAAAAAGACTATAAGATTCAAACTTTTAAAAACGTTCCAAACCAAATTTAAATCTCTATTCATTTCATATTACGTTGTTTAATTTAAAGTTGGTCCCAAACTTGTCAATTATCGTCGCTCATTAACTCTGTTAGATATTTTAATGAAATTTGTTAAGGAAACATTAAAAAAATGGGATAAAATGAAGAGTTTGAAAATGTTAATGACAAAATGGAAATTAATTGCATTGTTGAAGATATTAAATTAATATTTTACTAATTTCTCCAACAACTATAATTTCATTACCTGTACGTACCTTTATATTTGAAGTATCACTCTTGCAATATTTTTCTTTTAATTATATACCCTCCATTTAGAAAATTACAAATTATACTCTCAAACAAACCCACATAAATTAATAAATTAATGTGAGTGTTTAATTACTTAACTCCATAAAAGATACTTAAATCTCTCACCCACATTTTAACTTTTACAGTCAGATTTATTAAAATACCACATTAAGTGACCAGTTTTAAACTGTAAATGGCTACAAATTAAAAACAAATAATAACAGTACATTAAATATGGCGGTACGGTAACTTTTAAAATTCACCATTAAATAATTGAGGCGCGTTAATAAAACCGGACCGGCCACGAGTCGGCAGCAATAATGGCGAATTCACCCGTCCCGCAGGCGGCCTCTAGTACGGAAGCGGCGGCGACATCGTCGGAGCTGTACGGCACCACCGAAGGCACCCTCCAACCGCAAGGTAAGCCGGAGATTTTCGTGGCTACGAATGAAATTTGAATTTTCTAGTAAAATCAGAGACCGTAAAGTGAAGTGTGTTGTGTTTGTGCTATCGGCGGCGAATCAGAATGCGGAGGGCGGTGCACGGCGCGGTGCTCGGCGACGGCGTTCAAGAAGCCGTGTATGTTCTTCTGCAAAAAGTGCTGCGCGACGTGCTTGTGCGTGCCTCCGGGCACCTACGGGAACAAGCAGATGTGCCCTTGCTATAACAATTGGAAGACCAAGCGCGGCGGCCCAAAATGCCCTTGATTTTATTTCTTTGTTTAATTAATCACTTAATTAAGTAGTTTTCTTTTGGATCTGCTTTCCGTTTTGATTCTTCTGTCTGTCAATACGGTGCGTTTTATTCGAAGAGGATTACTTTATTTTTATTACTTGTTGAAACCATTTAAATTCCAATTCCATGTAATTTTAACCAACAATACAAATGAATTATAGTTTCGATTCCATTAAATTTCTAATACCGAAATGAGCATACTTCAACGGTAATTGATATATACCCTCAAACCAAGAGGTTGTGAGTTCGATCTCTCACTCCGTACTAAAAAATAATTAATTTTTTTTTTAATAAACTGACAAGATTCTCGTTACCATACATTTGATTTCAATTGTGGGTAAAAGGGCATTAGTTTCTTGTTCTTGTTTTTATTTTCTTAAACATGTTTGTGGATTTATTAAAAAAAATATAATAATAATAAGACATTGTTGGGTTGGATGTTGAGTTTGGTTTTGTGATATTTTAGCCCAACATAATTCTTTGGGATGGTGATTCTTCTGGCCCAAACAAATCTTTTTTGACTGATGAACTCAATTCAAACCAGTCTCTATATATTATATATAATTACCGGTGGGATGGGCGTCTTGAGTTTTCAAATAAAAAATTATAGATTCTGTGTTTCTGGAATAAATTTGTTTAAATCTCGTATTTTTATTTGATTCTAATTTTATTTAATACCAAACTCTCGGTTTTCCCTCTAAGTTTTGCCTCTCAACTAATTTTTTTGTTTTAGTATTTTCGGTGACGATAACTCCAAGAAATTCACAAATAACATTCTCACCAAGAAATACACACTTTATAAATGTAACTAAGTGTAACTGTGGAACGTACGGTAAACATGGGTGTGAACTATTATATATATTTTTGTATGTTTTATTTAATATATACTTTACATTTTTTGATGTACTTCCGCAACATATGAAGTGGAAGCTCTTTGTCCTTATATGCTTCTACGATGTTGATACTAATAATAATTAGTACTGTGAATTAAATTAAAATGAACGCAACTCATCTGCGTGACTATGGATATGGAATTCGACCAACTAATGGGGATAGATTATGTTCAAGTTTGTTCCTTGATTCAATCCAATATGAAAGATATTTTACAACTAGAATTTGATTGTACAAGAGATTGCGAATATGGCGAATTCGAGGGAAGTAAGGTTTATTAGTTGTAGGCAAAGTTGCAACCGTGTGGCTCATGAAGCGGTGAAGCTGGCAATGGAGAAGAATGTCAACAGCGTGTGGCTCCTGCTCGTTGATCTAGAGCTTTCAATCAAAGAAGCTCATTAATGTTTAAGGGTGTTTTATCTTGTTTTTCCTTTTATTAAAAAGATAAAATTAAAATGAAAGCCCATCGGCCCACGATCACTCAACTAGGGTTGTCTGAGGCCCAATTTGTTTTTCTTCCCGAGCGTTGGGCTTCGGACGAAGATTGATTGTTAGAGAAACCGTGTTGCCGAGTTGTGATCTTGTAAGCAAAGCAACTGAGTATTAAATGGGTTAAAAAATATTTTTAAATTCTTAAATTTACACAAATGCATTAAAATTGAGATTAAACATGGTATGTAATTTGTTGAAAATTTATAACAAGTTGGGAATCATTAAATCATTGTTTTATAATATATTTGGACTTTAAAATATGTCACTCGAATGATACTTGACTTATGAAATACTTGTCTATTGATATAATCAAATTATTCAAAAGGTACACGTGTTTACATATATTGATAAAATAATAACATACTTAATAATATATCAACGGTTTGTTAAAGAAAAAAATAATATGCCATAAAGTTTATTAGTCAAATTGTAACCCTATTCTTCAACTGATAATTCAGTGTAATTTTCAAGATGTTAAAACATAAAAAAACTTAAATGGAGAATTATCCAAACAAATCAGTATAGTATATATATAAAAAAGAAACTAAAAAGTTTCATTTTTATTTGTATTTATTTTTCAAGAATTGTATTCATATAAGATATTTAATTTTTTTTAGTTCAACAGGGTGGGTGGAGTTCAAACATTTGACATTTTTTAGTGGTAGATTAATTTGTCAACGATGTTACTTTGTACTTTGTAGCACGTAAATAATCCAAAACAATTTAAGAGGATGGATTAAATTCTTATCATAATATCATTTTGCGAATTCTAATAATAAATAAATAAATTCCCAAAAGACTAATAAAAAAATTTCCTAAAAGGAAAAAACAATAAATAAATAATTATCGATGTTTTTTTTAATGTTTTTAATTTTTTATTTTAAGGAATAATTTGTTAAAATAATTGGGTTGTTTTTGTTTGGGGAAATCCCCAATGGAAGCTCCGGGCGGAAGATGTAACGCATAGGCAGAGGAAAAGGAATCACCTCAGCCACCCCATGAATGGGCTTACCCGACGAATCAACTCCCCACGTGGCGTCTTCCAATTGGGGGTGAAAAGAGAAAATAACCACGAGATAGACGAAGCCGAGGGCCACCTATTAAACCTGAACCCAAAAAAAAAAAGAAAAAAAAAGAAAAGAAAAGAAAAAAGAAGAAGAAGAAAAAAGCCCATCCAATTCCCATCATATACCCTCAGGCCTCAATTATCTCCTCAATTCCCAATTCCCCATTCCTAATTCCTAATTCCTAATTCCCCCTTTTCACAAACACCTCTCTCTCGTTAAATCAACCACTCAAAAAACCAAAAAAGGGAAAAAAAAAAGAAAATACCAAAAGGAAAAAAGAAGGAAAAAACGAGAGGAAGGTTAAACGGAATACAATTTCACTCTTCTCTTCATCGTCTTCTTCCTCCCTTAAATCTGCTGTTAAATTTGCCACCTGGCGCATCTTAGCCGCCGCCGCCGCCGCCGCCGCCGTCGTCGACGACCTTTTGAATTTCATCGCCTTTTCCCTCCCAAACCCGATTACCCGAGCCGATTCAATTCCTCATTGCTCCTTCGTTCGCCTTCCCGCCGATTCACTTCCGGCGACTCCCAATTGCCGCCGTCGATACGGATACCATAACCTCTTACCCTCCGCGTTTCCTTCCATCTTAATTACTCAAACTGTCTTCTCTCTCTTCTGCTTGCCTTCTCGAGGTGAGGCTCTTACTTTTGTTTTCGATCAATCTTTTTTCCTCTGCTCTTCGATCGTTCGTTCCGCTGTGATTTCGAAGCGTTTTTCTTTAGGTTTCTGATTATGGATTGGGGGTTCGTTTGAATGTTAGGGTTTGTTTTTGAGGTTTCCAGGGGTTTTAGCCTTCAAAATTTTTGATTTCGGGAATTGGCTTGCTGATCTGAAAATTGCCGCGTGCAATATGTTTCTGGCATTAGTTTTCCGCATTCTTTGAATTTATTTTCGCTCCGGGCATCCGTGTGTTTAGAATTGGATGGTGGAGTCTTCTTTCTGATTGATGGACGAATACTTAGTCTCGAGCCTCATTTGTACACTCACTAATGCCCCGTCACATGCTGCAGCTTCAGTTTGGATTTTGCACAAAAGAAGTAACCATGAATAGGAGCTGATTCTAACTTCTCGTGCAGTTCAATTATTTACATTTGCTTAATTCATCGTTGTTTGAAATAATTGCTGTAGTTCACCTGTAACTGTTTTCTGTTGGGAAAGGCTAGTAAACAATAGAAACTAGAAAGCTGGTCTGTTGTCTGGTTATTGAGTGTATAAAGTAAGTTAAGTCATCCAATGTTTTGAGAGTTTGAACTTGAAGCTACAATAAAGCATGCAGGAGGTTCTCATCGAGCTTGTCTGATACTTGTTTCTTTTTTGAACATTTTATACTCAAGGTTCATTTTGCCGCATTTTATATTGCTGCTTTTCTCTCTCGCAACTCATAGTTCTTCCTGATACATGATATTTTTGTCATCTTTTGATACTTGTTATTTTCTAAGGAAAAGCTCAAAATTTCCAGTTTATAATCTTCCACTTTGATTGAGACAGTATTAAGAGTAGCCTTCCCTTCTTGTTTGACCATTTTCTGATTTCAGGGTTCAAAGCTTCTTTTTCACCAACACTAAGTTGAGGTCTTTTATTCCATGTAGAAGAATGGCCTTTTTTAGGAATCATTCAAATGAACCAGTTTCCCATGGTGTCTTGGAGGACAAAGGTCAGGGAGAAATTGCCGATAGAACTCACACCTCTGCAGGAAATGACGAGGTAGAAATGAGCACAGGGAAAGAATTTGATATGAACATGGACGTGCACTATAATAATGGTGGTCAGGTGGATGAATCCAGTAGGCTTCAAAATGAGTCAGCTGCAGATGATGGAATTGCTATGAGAGTGTCAAACTTGCAAAATTCTGGAAGAAGGACGGTAGTGGGTAGAAGGTGGGGTTCAACTTTTTGGAAGGACTGCCAACCTATGATTCATGGGGGCTCCGATTCTGCACAGGAGTCGAAGAGTGAGTCTGACAATAGAACTGGAGAAGGATCAGAAGATAATATATCCAATGAAAAAGATGGAGGATCAGAATTTGAAGATGATGATGACCAGCCAAAAGAGGTGGTTAAAGGTCAAAGAAGGTATTCTGATGTCCCCGTCGAAGATGGGACGTTGTCAGATGAATATTATGAGCAGGATGTAGATGATCAGAGTGATTCCATGCCATACAGAGGCTATAATAACTCAGTTAAGTCAAATAGGTCACAGTCGCAGCCTGTTACTGCCAACAACAATCACTTGCGAAGAAATTCTAGAGTTGTGAATGATGAAGACGATGAAGATGGAGATTATGAAGACCATAATGATGATGCTGATTATGAAGAAGAGGATGAGGAAGAAGGTATTGGTTCCTGTAGTATTATTTTCCTCAAGCCTGGTCGTGGATTCATATTGCTCTCGTCGCCTGTTTCTTAAAAAAAATTGCTCTCGTACTGTTTGCCGATTATTTTATTTGATTTCTTTATACTGTTTATACTGTTTATACCGTTTCTTTCTTTATTTATTTTTGATAATAACTGTTTCTTTAATTTTAATTGCTTGCCATTTGGTTATGCTTTGTTCTCACTTTACAATCAATCAGTGATGGACTTCATTTCATATGGTTTACCACCATATTTGCTAAATTTTATATTTGTGGGTGTGCAGAAGATGACCCTGATGACGTGGACTTCGAACCTGATTATGGTGTCACAAGTGGTCGTTCAGTGAAAAAGGTTACTTATTTGCATATATTTATGTATTATTCAATAATTTTCATGTGCTAGATTTCACGATGTGGTAAAAAGATTTTACCCCTTCTCACAAAATCACATTTGCCATTCCCTTCTTCCTTCTTTTCTTTTGCCTTCTCTTTTAATAAGTGTTTCTTGTACTGAATTGCAAAAATGTAAAAAGTACACAAGGCACAGCCAAAAGCTGAAAATACTTGCATTTATGTATAAAAATCTCATCTTGTCATGGAACGTGATTGGAAAGAGTATGAAGCACTATGACCTTAAAGTAAACTGAAAACCTTAAGCTAAGCTCTGAAAGATTCCCTCTCGTACTTTCTGCTGGCAGTCATTTTCTATTTCTCCGATTCCTCCGATGTAACAAATATTTCGATCGATTTCTTTCTTCTTTTCTCTTTATTTATCAGTAATAAAGTGTTTTATATGATAGCAGGATAAAGACTGGGATGGTGAAGATTATGAGGAAGAAGATGGTAGTGATGATGATTTGGAAATCTCTGATGAGGATGCATCTAACTATGGAAAGAAAGGCAGGGGAAAGCAACGAGGTAAAGGAGGGCGCACTATAAAACCTACCACTGAACTTAAATCATACCAATCATCTATTCGACAAAGAAAAGGAAAATCCTCATATGAAGAGGATGAATCTTCAACGGAGGATTCTGCTAGTGATAGTGTTGAGGGTTTAAAAAGTTCAGGAAAGACTGGCACTCACCTTCGCAAGAATAGTGGTCGGTTATCTGTAGTAACAGGTGTCTCAGGACGGAGAAGTGAGGTCAGAACTTCTAGTAGGTCAGTTCGAAAAGTTTCATATGTTGAAAGTGAAGAAAGTGAAGAATTTGATGAGGGCAAAAAGAAAAAGTCCCAAAAGGTGTGCCTGCATTTTTCATATTAAATACAGGCTGTCTGATATATTCCTGTAGGCTGTAGCTTCTAAAGTAATGATTTGTTAACCATATATATGGTTCTAAACTTAGATTCTATTTCCGTATCTTTGCTTGTTTTTGTGATACAACGTTTCTATATCCACAAAGTACATAATAAATATTATAATTCTGTTTTGGATTGCAATGAACTGTACCACGTTTATGTAGCTTGTTATTTTTTTATGTTAATTTTATGATTCTTTGTGTTTGTGATGTATTCATATTGCTAACTACAGTCCCATTTATTTTTTGTTCATTTGTTACCACCACTTCATTATATTTTGTAACTACGGTCTAGTTTTGCTGGGGTTAGTTGGTTACTGGTTCAACAGTAACATGTTGTTTTAACTGGCTGGACAGCTTATTTTGAGGTCTATTTAGAGGCTGCCCTCTCAACATTATCTTATGTTGAACATCAATAAGAGAATCAGACTTTCTTTCTTTGTGCATTAGTTTGAACCACTAATTTATATTTCAATATCTCTGACACTTGCTTTTAGGAGGAAGTCGAAGAGGAAGATGGTGATGCAATTGAAAAGGTTCTCTGGCACCAGCCAAGGGGCATGGCTGAAGATGCTTTAAGGAATAACAGATCAATTGACCCCGTCCTGTCTAGTCATTCATTTGATTCTGAAGCGGATTGGAATGAGGTGGAATTTTTGATAAAATGGAAAGGCCAGTCACATTTACACTGTCAATGGAAATCATTCTCTGAACTACAACATGTATGCTTCTGAATGATATTTTCGTTTTGTATTTTCTCATCATTCTCTTTTGTGAAAGTTTTCTTGTTTAAGTGCAACAAATTTCTTTAGCTAACTTTTTATTCTTCTCTCTGGCATTAAACACGTTTTTCTTTCGCAGCTTAGTGGTTTTAAGAAGGTTATAAACTATACGAAAAAGGTCGTGGAGGAAATAAAGTTCAGGAACAGTATCTCCCGTGAGGAGGTAATTTTTTTCTTGATACTGAAATAAAGTTGATTAGAGAAAGTTCTCAATGATGCAAGATTACTGGAACTTCTGTGAAATGATTTATTAACAGTAGCACTTTTGAATAAAAATCTTTGAATGCAAGCCTACCTGCACATTTGCAGCTGGGATGATAGAAGGATTTATTATAGGTTGTGAGATGTCTTGTAAGTTTTCTGAACGAAAATATTGCAATTAGGACACTTCTTCTGCGGTTTTATTTTATTATAATACTACATTTTATTTAATAGCTATTGTCATCAACCTTATTATTGTAATATTTCAAAGCATACTTAATTGACTCAAATGACTGCTTCATAATCCCTTTTTTTGGATAAGAAATGATTTCATTGATAATATAAAAGTAGTCTCATAATTCTTAAAATTGTTTTTTCCAAATTGTACGTAGTGTGTATGGACATTGTCCAACTGAATTGGTGCTCATTTCAGTTTTACTTTTAATTCTTTTTCACGAAGCCACTTAGGCACTTGCTCCTTATTTATTTTAATCTAGATATGTTTCTATCTATTCTATCTATCTACTCTGTTGGATTAGTCTATTTTAAGGAATTTGTATTAATTTTTCTGTGACAAATTATGGTAAAACAAAATTTTATATAAGTGAGAAAACTTTGATGAGTGATTGTTGATTCAGGGTGAATTAATACCTTGATGATGTGATTCTATGTAGCACTATTCTTTTTCACCAAGACAAGAAGTTCCCTACAACTTTTGATAAGCTATCTCATTATTATTTGCTGGATATGTTTATAGATTGAGGTCTATGATGTCAGTAAGGAAATGGATTTAGATCTCATCAAGCAAAACAGTCAGGTTACTTTCTTGAACTTTGACTGTTATATTTCTTAGGTTTTGGCTTTAAAATCTTTTGTAATTAGATTGAAATGTGGATTCTCAGGTGGAGAGAGTAATTGCTGACCGTATCAGCAAAGATGGTTCAGGTGATGTAGTACCGGAGTATTTGGTAAAGTGGCAAGGATTGTCTTATGCTGAAGCAACTTGGTAACTAGAATTAATATTTTTTTAAAGGAGTTTCTGAATGAGTTATTACTTAAAGAGTTTTCCTCCCCTTATCCAATTTATGAAAAAGCTGAGAGATATTTTAATATGCCCTTGTATTTGTTAAGAAATGCTGTACAATATAATATCTTAATCCTGTAAAGTTTGATTTCTTTGATTACCATGTACCAATTCCACCTTTATTGGAAGTTCTCGACTGCTTATCAGTGTTTATAAATTTGGTATTAGGGAAAAGGATGTAGATATTTCATTTGCCCAAGATGCCATTGATGAGTACAAGGTATTTGGCTATTTGCATTTTGCTTTCTGTAACTATTGTTTATTTAAGATGTTATTTTTATATCACTTGTGTAGTACTTATTAACTTATACCTAATATATATTTTAGGTTAGTGGTTTGATGAGATCATTATTTTTATCAGGAGACAAATATTTTCTTTAAGAATGATGCTGGTACTTGTGATTTTGCCCACAACAGTGGTGGCCAAAAAATATAGTGAGGAAAAGAGGACAGAAACCTAGATATTTCACTAACACTGAAACTATTTACAATCATGTAAAAGTGATGCTGAGAAATAAATTAATAGCAAAAACCTAGAGCCAATCATTCCAATACTCGGCCCATCCTCACCCCACCCCACAATTTATCGTAAAAAGTTCCTTCTATTTCCTAGGCTGGGTGCTCAAAAAACAGCTAAAACCCAACTTTCCATAAAATTCCCCTCTATAAACAATAGACAGTTAAAAGAAGATCATTCTTATGAAGTCTGGGCGGTCCAAACTAGGTGCAACGCTGAGGCCTAAAAACTGTAAGCTCTTGCATGTGCACCAAATACGGAACTAGAAAGCGCAGTAAGGGAAAGTCATTAAGTCTGCAGCTGCCTCCCTTTAAAAAAATGCTCATCCGTAACAAGAGGTGCACAGAAGCAAACCTCAGAATGATTTTATAAGTGCTAATCCTATGAGCCACTGACCAACCAAGAAGTATCACTTTTGGAATTTTCACTCTTTTTTTTGGATAAGAAACACTTCATTAGAAGGAACAAAAGGACAATAACAGCCTACGGACAGGGGCCAAGGCAGCCTCTTCCAAAAAGGAAACTAATCACAAGAAAGCTCTCCAATTTTGAAAAATCAAAGAGAGGCTATAATTACAAAAGAATTTCGTATTTCTTATGCACCACCAAGAAAGCTAAAACCTGCACACTATTAGAAAAAGAATCCCAAGACTTAGCTTAAGGAGCGTGAGTTCCTTTCCATCCAAATGTTCCAACTTCCAAAGAAAAGCTCTGAATGCACATCTCCACAAAACTCTGGCCTTTCCCTTGAAGTGCCACCCGTGAAAACATTCTAATAACCAGCTCTCCACGGCTTTAGGCATACATAAATTAATGTCAAAACATTGAAACAGAAACTGCCATCCTTTTAAAGCAAAGGGGCAGTGTAAGAACAAACGATCCAAGGTCTCTGCCCCTTTCCAGCAAAGACAGCATACCGACGGAGATAAAGACCACTTTGGGCATTTTCTTTGGAGTTTCTCATGAGTGTTCAACGCTCGATGAGCCAAGGACCATAAGAAAACCTTCACTTTTTTTGGGATAGAGTCCTTCCATATGAATGTTATCAAAGGAGACTTTAATTTGGGAGGAGTTTCCATTAATTTCATATAGGCTAATTTGGGAGGACTTTTCACTTTCCATGACTCAGGAAAAGAACGAAAAACTTTTACACCCACACGACATAACTTAAGGAGTGGGCTTTGTAAGTAATGGATGTATGACTCAAGTAAATGCTGTTCTTATTTTCAACTCTTGTGAGATCAATGTTGTTTTTAATAACTTTTTACTTATTTTTGATAAGACGGCACACGCATGTGTGATAGTACTATAGGGATAGTTTGGAGAATAGTATTAGTATATTAGTTAGGGGTAAGATGAATATAAATAGAGGTAGGAAGGAGAGAAGGATGATAGCTTTTGGAAATAGTTTAAAGTGAGAAACTTTGTATAGTTCTTGGGAGAGAGATAGCATCTCGAACGCTATTGATATTGTAATTTCTCACCTTAAACTATTCCCAAAAGCTATCCTCCTCTCCTTAGTAACTCTATTTATATCCAAATTACTCCTATCTAATTACCATAATGCCCCTATTATTATATTAATACTAGTCTCCAAACTATTCCTATTAGTACTCTAACAGCATATTGGTATACACTTTAGACTAGGTTGTAGTCTTCAGTTGCAACCTAGAGAATGACATGGAGTATTTCTTAGGTTGGAGTATTTCTTAGTATACAAATATCGTAGAATTGTAACTCTGTTTCTTGTACTGTCAATGTCTTGGTCCTATACTTTTATTCATTTTATTATGGTTCCTACATTTTTTAGAATCTATCAATTTAATCTCATAAAAAGCTGGTGTGACACCACGTGGAAGCTAACATGACGTCACCCTATATATGCAAGAGAGACATATTATATCAAATTGTCATGTTAGCTTCCATGTGGTGTCAAGTCAGTTTACATTATTAGTTAATTTTATAATTCACGTCACAAACTAAAAGTTGTAGGGACTAAAATGAAATAAATGGAAGTACAAAGATTAAATTGTTACAAATGGCATAATATAGGAATGAATTATAGATTTATCCTGAAAATATCTAACCTTTTTTTTTGGGATGAGAAACAAAAATATCTAACTTGTTTTGACATATAAAGATGGCTATCAGCTCAAAATATTTATAAGTAACAAGGAATTTTATGTACTGTGACCTTTGATTTTATGTACTTGTGTTAAACACATTTTTATAAAATAATATTTTATTAGGATGCATTTCTTTGAATTTTAAGTCAAAATGCCCCTCTTTTCACTTCCACCAAATTTTCTTCAATCTAATATTTTACATTTCACAGTATTCTATTTGTATTGCATCACTTTTGCGAAAATTTTGACTAAAAAATCTATTTTTTGAAATTACTATTTTCCAGTCTGCCAAACTTTCTTCGACCTTTACTGGAAAGGCCAGGAAAGATAATAGAAATGTTGAAAAAAATTCCAAATTAAATTTCTGTTGGAAAAATTGAATTTCTGATTTATTTACTTTTTATTTTAAGAATTATTTGCAAATTGAATTTCCAAAAAGTGCAAAAAAGGATAGATAATTGCGTACTGTTTTACTTTTCTTTTTCCCAGACTGTCTGAGAAAGGTTGGAAAGGTCTGGGAAGCACAATATTTTCCGAAGACAGAATTATTTTATTTGCAATAATTCTTAAAAACAAAAAATTGTAAAGAAAATACATAGAAAAGAAGGAAAAGAAAAGGAGAAAGAGTTGCAGCCCCCACCTTGCCTCCCTTGGTCTCTTTTCTTGTGGAAGGAAGCCACAGGGAAAGGCGCACGATTTCCTAAATTTTTCTAATATTTTAAAAAAATTGTTTAATCTTCTATTAATTAGTAATTATAAAATGTGACATATTTCGACGAAAAGTGTCACTTGTTAAAAAGAACAAATAATATTTATTTTTACAAAAGAGTAAAAATAAATTTAATTTTTTATTTTTTAAATACTCTTTTCTGGTACAGGTTTAGATAACACTAATCTACAAAAAGAAAAAAGAGAATTTTTTTTTTTATTAAAGTTTGAAAATAATTTTAAGAAAATTATTTATTTAGATATATAATTATTTTAAGCTTATTTTCCAAAGCAATATACAAACATGTATAAAATAATTGGCAAAAAGAAAATAGAGTATCATTTATTGATCCTGCATTTTGCTATTGTTTGGGACCTGCTCATTCTTCAAAAATCAATTAAGCAATTACTATGTATCTTGGGAATTAGGGTTGGTAAGTATTTATTTCAAATCTGCTGTGATTGGCTGAGTGATAAATTGTTTTCAAATATTTGGTCCATTGCCAATGGTTACCATTAAAACTAGACAAAATTAAGATAGAGATCTTTGTATCTATTAGTATTTGCAATCATTGCGCCTCTTTTTCAATCATGCCTTAATGATTGAAGCTGGTTGATACATCTTTTCTCCTTTCATAATGTGAGCAGGCTCGTGAAGCTGCAATGTCTGTGCAAGGGAAATCAGTTGATATTCAGCGTAAAAAGAGCAAAGGTCCGTGGAAGTTTGTTGTCACAAAATCTTACTTATAACAACTTTTGACAAATTGATTATATATAAATTATATACACATAGTAAGGTAACAAACAAGATATTATTTGTTGATGGAAATACAAAGCCCTAGTTATGGAGGATTATAAATAAATTGTAGATATAGCTTTTTTTTTCCTTTTAATTTTATATACATTTTTTTTATTTTAAAATTTTTAAAAGTTGTATGGACAATCAGATTCATTAAGACAAATAAGTATAAGAAGAGGCCACATAAAACTATGGCTCAACAAACGTGGGGATTTAAAAAATGTAAAATTACAGAAGAGCCCCCAAAATTGTATGATCTATTTTGCTTTAGAGAAAATAGTGAATTATTAAAATGAATTTGAATGAGTGAAGATTTATTGAAGTCATTAAGAAACCTAAAATTTATTTTCATTGGCAACGATAGAAAGGAAATTGTAACTAACAGTTAACCATGTTGCTCTTGCATGATTATGACACTAGCAGATCGAATGCCTCCTTTTACTGAAGTGAAGTACAAACATTTTTTTTTCTTATGCAACAAAAAGGGGCTTTAAGATAGAGCGTTGATGTAGAGTTTTCTACTTTGGTGATAGACACAATATATTTGTGATGTGGTAGAAGTTAATTAGGTTCAGTGTATAATGGGGAAGGATATTAGATGAATGAGATTGTAACTGCGTAATTTGTAGTTCGGATAGATTCTATTGGCATATCTGAAATGGTACTGGTGGTTTTATTTCTGATTGCACCCTATTTTCCTTTTCCATATCAGAAATGCTTTCTTCCTTGCTTACTCTATGTACAGCTAGCATACTTTAATATTATAGCTTTTATGATTTCTAGTGAGTTTAAGGAAACTTGATGAACAGCCTGAATGGTTGAAGGGAGGCAAGCTTCGAGATTATCAGCTTGAGGGTTTGAATTTTCTTGTTAATAGGTATTATTTCTTTTGTTTAAACGTGACCTCTGATCTTGTTTTTTTTTTTTTTTTTAAATTGCATTGAACTTTGTTAATTTTAATATATAAATAGAATGGTTGAGAAGTGGCTGGTAAGTTGGTGACTGTTCATTTATATAAAAGACAACCGCGAGTCATGGAAAGCCCTCCAGATTTATTTGCTTCTAATATAAGTCTTCGATAGTTATGTAATTGGTCTGTGTTTATATGGTTGTAGTTGGAGAAATGATACTAATGTAATTTTAGCTGATGAAATGGGTCTTGGGAAAACTGTTCAGTCTGTTTCCATGCTTGGATTTTTACAGGTGGGTTTATAACTCTCTCTCCCTAGTGGTTTTATAAGTATTTCTGATAGAATAATCTCGAGGATTAAATACTTCTTTTTGGCAGAATGCTCAACAAATTCATGGTCCGTTTCTTGTTGTTGTACCACTGTCCACATTGTCGAACTGGGCCAAAGAATTTAGGAAGTGGCTGCCTGATATGAATGTTATTGTCTATGTCGGTACCCGTGCAAGCAGAGAGGCAAGTTGTCTTTTCCATGACTTGATTGAGACGGTGATGTTTGTGGTGATGACAGGTTTATTTGATGAAAATATGTCCACTATATGGGAGTGAAGCTATTGTTTATAAAATTGAAAACAGGTTCATGGGAAGGTTTATGCTAAGATTTTCCTTTATTAAGTTTAAAACAATCCTTAGTCTGGAAATTTTTATCAATCTGATGTTTGAGCTTTTATTCGTTGTGTTCTTTCTCTTGGTAATTTCTATTTTTGCATACAATTTTCTGTTTGCAGGTCTGTCAGCAACATGAATTTGAAAATAAAAGAACTGGCAGACCTATAAAGTTTAATGCGTTGTTGACCACGTATGAAGTAGTTCTGAAGGATCGTGCAGTTCTTTCAAAGATCAAGTGGAATTATTTGATGGTCGATGAAGCTCATAGGTTAAAGAATAGTGAGGCACAGTTGTACACGACCCTTTCGGTATGCAAATAATTTGAACTAGTGCAACTTTCTAATGTCATATTTGCTTAATGCATTAATGATGTGTGACCCTTGCTGGGTTTTCAGGAGTTTAGCACAAAAAATAAACTGCTCATTACTGGCACTCCATTGCAGAACAGTGTGGAAGAGCTATGGTATTGTTTTATGTTATAATTTTTAATATGGTTATCTATCATTTCTATGCCTAAATTGTAAAGATGATTCTGACATTGAAAGCTGCCTCATTATCTTGTAGTTTTCTTTTGGTATAAAATGTGTTTTGGTCGGTTAAGGTACCTCATGTCTATAGACTATACCCAACACTTGGACACTAAAACTAGCGTGTTAGACCTTTCTTATCTTTTTCCTTGAATCTTTTTAAAAGTTTTTCACAGGGATAAAAATAAAAATAAGAGAAGAATTTTGTTGTTTATCTTTGGTTTGGTGCATGTGTAACACTGTGCCTGTATTAAATTGACAAAGGAAATTATATATAATTCTACCTGAAAAAAAGATATTCTCTGGTAATTTCTCATTTCTTCATATACTTTAGATTCTTAGAATTACATTTTTGTATATGTTGTATTTTGATTTAGATTTTTTTATATATTCAATTTCAGTTTATGTATTTAGGGATCATCGGTCGGTTGGCGTCGGTTTTGGGTTCAAACCGACACCGGCCACCGGCTAGTCATGTTGGTTTTTGTCGTTGAGAGCTCTACGATTTTGAAAGGCTCTGCAACAACGACCAACTGAGTTTGGTCGAAACAAACGCAAAAAGAGAAAAAAGTGGGAGAAAAGGAAAAGGGAGAAGAAGGAAGAAGGAAAGAGGCGGAGAAAGAAAGCCTAGAAGGGGAGATCAGAAGGGGGAGATGAGAATCAGGCGGAGGGTTGAAAATCAAGGAAGATAAGGGGAGAAGAGGGAGGGGGAGAAAATCAGGGAGAAAATCATGGAAGAAAAAGAGGGATGGGGGAGACAAATTGTGGGGTTGGTGAAGAGAGAGAAGGGGAAGAAGAGTGAGGGGGAGACCACACTGTGTAAATTTCAAAAAGAGATTAAATGTTTTTTTTTTTAATTTAAAGTACCGTTTAAGAAAACCAGCTGGTTAATGATCTAAAGGTAGCATGTTCCTCTTTATCTGCGGAATGGAATTTTTGCTATACTTGACCAAATGACGTAGTGCCATGTTTTCCATTGAAAAGCTCATTAATAGACTCAATTTCTTCTGTACCTGTTCAATTGTAAGATTGTTTATCAATTTTGCTCCATTTAGGGCTCTGCTTCACTTTCTTGATCCTGAAAAGTTCAAGAGCAAGGATGACTTTGTTCAGAATTACAAGAACCTTAGTTCGTTCAATGAGAATGAGGTAATATTCTATATTAGGATTTCTCACACTTCAGGGATGTTGCTTTCATCTGATCCTTCATGATTTGGATTATTTGTAGCTCGCTAATCTTCACATGGAACTGAAGCCTCACATCCTTCGTCGAGTTATAAAGGATGTTGAGAAGTCTTTGCCTCCCAAGATTGAGCGTATTCTTAGGGTAGAGATGTCTCCACTCCAGAAACAGTAAGTAATATTTTCGACTATTATTATTGTTATTTTTTTTTTGATGGTATGAAAGATTACATAATCACAGCCTTCAAGTTTGCATGAGATTGCTTAAGCTATATAATCTGTGAACGGGGAATAAAACAGTATAGAAATTTTAATTTGCAAACAATAACTGATACTTGTCTTTCTGTTTTTAGGTACTACAAATGGATTTTAGAACGCAACTTTCATGATTTAAACAAAGGAGTTCGTGGGAATCAGGTTGCGATCTATTTCAATTTCTTTTGGAAACTTGACTGACTATTATGACCATGTTTTTTTTCTTTCCCAGAATTAGTGGAATCTGATTTTGTTTTGTCAGCATTGGACGTATTCTGGTTTTCATTTTGTTTATGTTAAGAATAATTTCTATGATTAAATTAATTCTGTTGAAAATTTGGGTTTGTTGATGGCTTGAAAATTATGTCTTTTTCAGGTTTCCCTTTTGAACATTGTGGTGGAGTTAAAGAAATGCTGCAATCACCCCTTTCTGTTTGAAAGTGCAGATCACGGTTATGGTGGGGACTTCGACTCAAATGATAGCAGCAAGCTGGATAGAATAATCTGGAGCAGTGGGAAGCTAGTTATACTTGATAAGTTATTAATGAGGTTGCATGAGACAAAGCATCGGGTTTTGATTTTCTCACAGGTCAGATCATAAAATTCTGAATGCTAATCAAATTTGTTTTTTCATGTAGTACTATTATTGATATTACCTTTCATTTGATTATATATTCAACCTTTTGTTGACTATTGCTTCATAAATAAGTCGTTGACATTTGGGGGCGGGGGTTAATATGTTTATGGTTACTAATATGAGTATGTACAATGAGGTTTAGTCAGTTTGCTGTTATGTGTCTGTTTCAAGTCGTGGAAGTTCAAATTTAGTGGATGTATTTTTCTGTGAATGTAGCATGTAAACACTTTGACATGCTTTGCAGTTTCATGTATTTTAGGCTCTCTTATTGAATTTGACTGCGGATATTCTAATCATTACTTAGTTTTTCTTTTTCTTTTTCTGCCTTTTGCTTTTTATTTTTACTTTTATTTTTGTTACTCAACATTGAGTCAAGGTGTTTACATAGGTCACGTGAATGGAACGTTCTTGTTATTCTTCATTTTCTTTCTGCGTAAGAAATCAAAGCGACTTTGCATTGAAATAGAAAAAGGTTACAAGGAGGGGACATCTGTATCAAGTTAAATGAAGGTTACAAAAAAAATTGTTTCAATTGACATGAAGATTGGTCAAACTATAATTACAAAATGGAAGGTATGTTTCAGTGTGTTGTTTCTGTAAGAGGGATGTGGAGACCTTTGATCACATCGTTATTCACTGCTGTTTTGCTCACACCCACAGTGCTTGGTCTTTCCTTTTGTCTCAACTTGCTCTGGCAGTTTGTCTCCCTTTTAAGGGTGGATCGTTGGCTCTCGGAGTCTCTTGTTGGTATGTTGTTGAAAGGCAAAGCAAAGGTCTTATGGAATTGCACGGGAGGAGCTCTTCTCTGGCTTAATATGCAAAGAGAAAAACCAAAGGATTTTTTGAAAACAAGACGGTTCTTTACCAGGCCCTTAGGTTTTTTATTGTTCTATTCTTTAAATAAATACATAATTTCTTATAGAAAAAGGATGGTATAATTTGTATCAAGAGTTGCAATAGTGTTTTATCCCAGAATTGATGGGGGCTTTGACATCGTTAAAGGTTCTTCTATTAATTTCCAACAATAATTACTAAAAAAAAGTTATATGGAATTAGACCTTAAGATCATCCCATTCTTCCTCTTTTATTATTTTTTTTAATTTTTTTTTGATAAAACCACGTATTCAAAAAAGCCAAGGAAGAAACAACCTAAGGGTTGAGGTCACCCACCCCAGAGACTATAGAATAACCGCTTTCCTATCCTTCAAAATCATTTGAAGACTATAATTATATCAGTGTTTCTTGTGGATGGTTAACTACCAAGAAGCTGTTTGCTGTACATTCATACAAAAAGAATCTATTATGGACTTTTTCCCTTCAAAAAGCCTCCTATTTCTTTATTTCCAAGTGAGCCACAGCAAGGCCCTCACTGTGCAACCCTAAAGAGCAAAAGATTTACCTTTCAGAAGGCCTCCAAAATTTTCCAGCAACAAGTAATCAATCTTTTTAGGAAAACAACAAGTCATTGATCCCATTCTTCCTCTTAAAGCATAGGTTGTGGGGAAATTGATGTTAGCTAAGAGATCCGTGGACTGTCGAAAAGAGACGAGGATTTACTTTCCCAGATTTTGCCCACAAAAGAGGAAGTGGAAAGAAGATGGGAGAGAGCCTGTTGAGGATGCTTTGGTAATGAATTGCATGTAATGCTATACGGATTAGTATGTTCTTTAAATGAATAATGACCCAAATTATCACAAATCCGAAGCCAACAATCTATACTGTGTTTGAGAGAACGTGGAGATGATATCCACATGGTTGAGTCGTATTGAATTTCCTCTTCAGAGAAGTTTCTTTTGGAAGAAAGGATCCACAAAATGTTATAGGAATTTTGGAGGATTCGGAGGGATCTTTGTTCATGGAGGGTGGAAAACAATGATGTCTCTAAAACTTGTGCTAGTGCAATTGCCATCAGTGTGATCCCTGGAAGTATGGATATTCACGAGCATGAAGATTTAATGCAATGTATCTTTTGACAAAGTGGGAACCTCCATTTAAAAATACCTTGGTACTGGTAGGGTCTACATCGGATCAAGGAGTTGAAAATAAGTAGTAAGAGTTGTCTTTTCCCAATTCTGTTAGCTCTTATACCTCTTTAATTTCCATATACTTCTATAGAAATAGTCTTACCCGTGATCTTCAAAGGATTTTTTCTGGTAGTTTTACCCTTTCTCCTTTTCACAGCGAAGCTTTCCAAAGATTCCCTTGACATCTGGCTTCGAAGACTTGTAAAACATCTTTTTAGATTTTATTGAGTTTTCTTTCAAAACCATTCTTCACGTGTTTTTCAGTGCAGTTTAGCGTACTCAATTCTATTACAACTTAATCGAGGTTATGCCTTTTGGGCTTCTCGTCCAGATAAACATAGTGATTATGATGGTGTGTTGCAGATGGTTAGAATGCTCGACATTCTGGCTGATTACATGTCATACAGAGGATTCCAATTTCAGAGGCTTGATGGAAGTACAAAGGCTGAGTTTCGCCAGCAGGCAATGGATCATTTCAATGCACCTGGTAGTGATGATTTTTGCTTCCTTCTTTCAACTCGAGCTGGTGGCTTAGGTATAAACCTTGCAACAGCAGATACAGTAATCATATTTGATTCTGACTGGAACCCACAAAATGACTTACAGGTTGAGTTTTGAATACATGCTTTTTAATTTTGTTTTGAGGGGTTTTCATCATATGAATTATGTTCCATTCTCTCCGTTGTTGTAGGCGATGAGTAGGGCCCATAGAATAGGGCAACAGGAAGTTGTTAATATATACAGATTTGTTACAAGCCGAAGCGTTGAGGAAGATATCTTGGAGCGAGCAAAGAAGAAGATGGTATTAATAATATGTTCTGGTTTTTCTAGTTCACTTGTTAAAGGAGATTCTGACACTTAGATTTGTATTCAATCTATGTGTACATCTGTTGAGGAAACTTCTATTTCATTTCAGGATTTTTTTCTATGTGATCTCAGTTTTTCTGTATTTTATAGGTTCTTGATCATCTGGTGATTCAAAAATTAAATGCGGAAGGTAGATTGGAGAAGAGAGAAGCCAAAAAAGGCGTTAATTTTGATAAAGTAAGAATGGTCAACCACTATAGTACTTGATTGAAAAACTTGAATTTGACTTAATGGAAAGTCGAATTATTTGGATGATGAAAATTATGCGAGACTCCAATTTTTACTGGATTTCTGATTGCCTTTTTTTATGTTTCTGATTGTATTATGTTTTGCAGAATGAGCTGTCAGCTATTTTAAGATTTGGGGCAGAAGAACTTTTCAAGGAGGACAAGAATGATGAAGATAGTAAGAAGAGGTTGCAAAGTATGGATATTGATGAGATTCTTGAAAGAGCAGAGAAGGTTGAAGAGAAAGAAGCTGGGGGAGAGGAAGGGCATGAATTGCTGAGTGCTTTCAAGGCAAGATAATGATATTATAGTTGTGATATTCTTGGTTGTTTTTGTCTTTACTCTTTTAAATAATATTATGGTAGTGATGTTTGTATATGGTTGATGTAAATATTATGGTAGTGATGTTTGTATATAGATGATGTTATAGCAGTGTGGATGGCAACCCATAGAAGTGGCTGTTCTTTCATTCTGCTTGTGCAGATTGTTTGATTTAACTTTTTAACTGATCTTCTTATTCTTCTTCCTTTTTTTTTTTAACCGATCTTCCTATTCTTCTTCTTCTTCTTGGTGATATCACTATGCACGAACAGGTTGCTAACTTTTGTAGTGCTGAAGATGACAGAAGTTTTTGGAGTCGTTGGATAAAACCAGAAGCAGTCTCCCAGGCAGAAGTATGAACCTATAATATACTGTTATTGTTAGTTTGAACCTGAAGATCTTTCTTTCTACTATAATCTTTATTCCAACTAGCAAATACAACCTCTGTTGAGTATATCTTTCTGATTTCTATTATAGTTTTTACTATATATATTCATCCGTACGTACTTTCTGTTATTTTAGCAAGCTCTAGTTCCTCGCGCTGCCAGGAATACGAAGAGCTATGCAGAGGCTAATCAGCCTGAGAGTGTTGGTAAAAGGAAGAAAGGATCTGGGCCTGTTGAGAGGGCTCAGAAACGCCGTAAAGGTGATATTTCTGCTTCTTCAGCACCAATGATTGAGGGTGCATCTGCTCAAGTGAGAAGGTGGTCTTGTGGGAATTTGTCTAAAAGAGATGCGTTACGCTTTTCTCGTGCGGTAAGTTTTTTGTGGTTTTTCTTACTTTTTTTTTTTGTGATTTAAGCACGTGATCTAAAAATTTGGTTACTTTTATTTAACTGTGATTCGGTTGATAAAATATTGTCACTTGTTCCATTTAACTTGCATGATATAATTCTTTATGAAGGTATTGAATTTATTGCTTCTTCAAACTCTTTGATGATATGAAAGATTTTGCTATCTTTATTTGTTGTCACCTCCTCTACCAACTTAATGGGGCATTATGTCCTCACTTCTTGTTGGATAATGTATGCACTCACTTCTTGTCTGGATGTGTGTGCTGGAAAGAATGGACTTTTTTGCATGATTCGTGGAGTAAAGTTTCTACTTTAGCTTCTTTTTCTTCTTTCTTTCTTTCTTTCTTTTTTTTATGAGAAACAGAACCCATGTATCCAAAATAAATAAAAACAGCCTAGGGGCTGGGGGATGAGAAAGCCCCTGCCATGGAAAAACTAGAGAAGAGCTACTTTCCAATCTTAGATAAGCATCAATATACTGTAGTTACAAAAATACTACAATTCCTATAGTTTAAGCACCATGTAGAAGCTGTGATTTGTACAAAAGAATCAAAGGAACAAAGCCTATTGTTGAAAACCTGACTATTTCTTTCCAATGCACCAAGAAAAGGCTCTAGATGCGCAACCCCATAGGAGTTTGGCTTTCCCTCTGAAGGAACCCTCTGGAGGGCCTTGAGAAGCCCCAATCTTCCATAGCTCTAGGCATACAGCTGGTGAAATCTAGCTCTTTGAACAAAAACGACCAGAAATTTGAAACTGTTGGGCAATGAAGAAGAGGTGATCAAGATTTTTGGCAGCTTGTAACAAAAGCTACACGCCGAGGGTGGAAAACTCCAATTTGGAAGCCTTTTTTTTAAGACTCTCGTGCGTATTAAGGTTTTATAGGCTAAACTCAAAAAACTTTTACTTAAAGCAATTTAACTTCCAAATCGAATTTATCAGGGAAACTTTGATTTTTGGTGGGCTATCGGTTAATCTGAAGAACAAAGATTTGGTAGAGAAAGTAGGCCTACTTTCAGGGTTCCAAAGTATCTTATCCTCCCCCTTCCTTTTCTAAAAGAATTCAAAAGCAGATTGTCTGTCTCGTGGTCTGGAAGCCCCTTCTGAAGCTCAAGTTTCAGTCACATAGGTCATCAACCCAACAGTCAGCCACTGGAGCATCTTTCTTGAGAGAGATGCTTAAAAAATCCAGAAAAAAGAGATTCTAGAGGAGTATCTTTCAGCCAAATGTCTTTCCAAAATTTTATCGTTTGACCATTGACAGCTTTAAATCGGACAAAACGAAGGAAAGAGGCACCAAATGTTGCTATATCAAACCAAGGCCTCCTATAAGCTTTGAGGGGTAGCCAACTGGACGGCTCCTCCCTGTAGATGAGTTCGCCTCCCAAGAGTAGACAATTGAGCTGAAATCCTCCAAAGACTCTTGTGAAGAAGTGCTCCCTTCCTTTGTTTAGAGCTTCTAAGACCCAACCACCATAAACCTTCAGCAAGGAAGAGGTAGACCATTTGACTTAGTGTCTTTGAGGATGAGTCACTCTCCCGCTCCAAAAGAAGGACCTGATTAATTTCTCCATCTCATTCACAACCTTGACCGGAGCTTTAAATAAGGAGAAAGCACAGATGGGCAAACTGTTTAAAACAGAAAGGGCAGGAGTCAATCTACCCCCTTTGAAGATTTAAGAGATTTTCCCATCTGTCTAGTTTCTTTTTGAACTTATCAACAATTGGATCCCTATATGAAGTCTTTCAATAATTGCCTCCCAAAGAAACCCCCAAATAGTTGAAAGGAAGGCCTTCAACTTTTAACCATGGGCAGAGGCCCAACTCTGAAGCTGAGAGAAATCTATGTTGATACCTACCAAAGTAGACTTCCCAATATTCAAAGAAAGACCCGAGCCTTGGAGAAAAGATTGATAACTGCCCACCATCTGCTCTTTTGAGTTTATTACTATGAATATGCATATTTTCTTGCCAGTATTCTTCTCTCTGCATGTAGGCTAATTAATTCATTGGTAAAGTATTGGGAGTTGGGAGCTTATTTTCCTCTAGTTTCAGTTGTAACCAGAGCATTTCGGAGTGTTGAATTTCTCCATTATGACATTACAATGGATATGGGTTGATGTGCTGATACTGAATGATTTTATGGTGGTTGTAATGGTATTGAAAACATTGAAAGAAAAAGATGTTCAAGAAGATTTATATGAATGTGCATAAAAATTTCTAACTTTAAAATTCCATAGATGGTATAAAATTACCAAAAATGACTGGGAAGTAAAAATGGGAACCAAGCCATGCGTATGCCAATGTTGAGTGGAATACCCTTGCAATCTAATGTATGGACTATTAAGTTTTTGATAAAGATGAAATATCATCGTTGAATTGAATTTCATTGGAAGATATGTTTCATGAAAATAGTATGGTAAAAATGTTAAGCCCCTCGTGCATCGTATATGAATGAATGATGCCAAAATCGTAATTAGAACAGTTAAGAGTTTTTATTTGATCTATTTATTTATTTTTCATATGTTTCCGTAATTTTTCCACCATTTAACTGAGATACTAGGAATCCTGGTATACTGATGTAGGAGTGGAAATTTCTATCTTCCCAACCCCAGTATCAGGCACTCAAATTACTTGTTCATAAATGGTCCGAATGCGACTAATCTTATTGATTTTGACGGATACACCAATGACTAATTGCAGACATCTGTTCTTTGGAATATCATTGGACTGAAATTTTGATTTGTTTGATTTTTGTTAACACTGCTTGACTTTCTGTTATTACATAAAATCAGGTTATGAAATTTGGGAATGAGAGTCAAATTAGCTTAATAGCTGCAGATGTCGGTGGTGCAATTGGAGCAGCTAAGCCTGAGGCACAGATTGAACTATTCAATTCTTTACTTGATGGCTGTCGAGATGCTGTTGAATCAGGAACCACAGACCCAAAGGTGTGTCCAAAATATATAATACTTGAATTCCTTTTCTGATTGTAAATGACGAATGGTAATTTCAGAAATCTGAGGTTCTTTCTGGTTGACAAATGTTTGAATATTTTCTCTAGGGACCGATGTTAGATTTTTTTGGTGTGCTAGTGAAAGCTAATGAACTTCTTAACCGAGTTGAAGAGCTTCAGCTTCTAGCAAAACGAATTAGCCGTTATGAAGATCCTATCAAGCAATTTCGTGCATTGATGCACCTAAAACCTTCAAATTGGTCAAAAGGTTGTGGTTGGAACCAGAGTAAGTATTCAGATAACCACTTTTCAGTCTCCTCTCTCCATTTATATTATTTTCTGCTAATACTTCTATTTCTTCATTCTAAGTTGATGATGCAAGATTGCTATTGGGAGTACACTACCATGGTTTTGGTAATTGGGAAAAGATCAGGTTGGATGAGAAACTCGGCCTCATGAAAAAGATTGCTCCTGTGGAACTTCAACATCATGAAACCTTTCTGCCACGTGCTCCCAATTTGAGAGATCGTGCTAATGCACTTCTGGAGATGGTAAGTTATCAGTTGTGCAACCTCTGTTGGTGACAGTGGATTATTTCGATTCTGTGGCTGTCCTGATACAGCTCTTAATTTCTGACTTGTTTCATTTATCTTGGTTTAGGTGTCATACGGATAATATTTTTTTTTTAAAAAAAATAATTTATTGGTTTGCTTATTCGAGCTAGTATATAAACATGCAATGCTAGTAGTTTCTACCAGTTCTGGGTTTGGCGGACTGGAGCTGGCACTTCCAGTTCTAAAAGTACTTTCTTTTTTCGTTAAAAAGTTTGTTGCGAGCCAAGAAACTTGTATCACATCTTATGAGGACATGCCTTGCTTTTGTGCCTTTAATTACTTGTGCAAATTTTATTTTTCTTCGTTAAAAAGTTTGTTTGCTTCATTCAATTTTATTTGCACACCCGAAGATGTATTTCAAAGATTTATAAGATGTTATAAACTATGTGATTGTATCAAGAATTATGTAAAGAAAAAGATAATATCCTCTGGTGTTGTGGGTATTGAACATATTGAGATTTGAAAAGGATTTGATAATTAATTTGTGAAGTATTTTCATACTGTTATTAATGGTTTGCTTTTGTACCTTTAATTACTCGTGCAAATTCAGTCTCTCTGTAGTTTCATTGTTGTTTCATTGTGCGTGCTTGTATTTTCTTTTTCTTTTTGGCTCATTTATTGGTTTTTAATTTCTATTTCAGATAATTTCACGATTTACTGATGATGATTTCATCAACTGTTGACCAGGAACTTGCTGCAATGGGTAAAAGTTTGAATCCCAAAGCTGGTCGAAAGACTACAAAGAAGGATAGGGAAAATTTACAAAAAGTTTCGGCATCACGTGGCTTGGATAAAAAGGGAAAACCAGGTTCTCCTAAGGTAAAGACCAAAATGAGGGACAGAACTTCCAAACCCCAGAGAGTTGAGAACCTTGTGAAAGAGGAGGGTGAAATGTCTGACAACGAAGAAGTATATGAGCATTTCAAGGAAGTTAAATGGATGGAATGGTGTGAAGATGTCATGGCCGATGAAATTGTAACTCTGGAACGACTTCAAAGGTTACAGACAACTAGTGCCAAACTCCCAAAGGAAAAGGTGCGCTGTTATTTGGTTCTTAATTCTGGACTCTTCCGTCTTATGGAACAACTTCATAAATTTCTATTTTCCTTTGTGATCAGGTGCTTTCAAAAATTCGCAATTACTTGCAGCTTCTTGGAAGAAGAATAGATCAAGTTGTTCTAGATCACGAGGAGGAACCGTATAAACAAGATAGTATGTGGTGCTTTTGAGTGGAATTATTTTTTCATATGTATTTGTGATATTATTTTCTCTATAGGCTGTTGGCACTTGTTTTCTTTACCGGGTGTTCAGTTTGAACTACTTGAGAGTTGAGATGGTAATCTCTCTCGGCGAAGACGCTGGAGAATGAAAATTTATTGATCTTTTCTGAAGCAGTGAAATCTAACCCTTTTAACATTAACTGGCAGGGATGACAATGCGATTGTGGAATTATGTCTCCACCTTTTCAAATTTGTCCGGGGAGAGACTTCATCAAATTTATTCAAAGCTTAAGCAGGAAAAAGAAGTGGGGGCAGGTCCGTCCTACATCAATGGTACTGGATCTGGTATTATGGGCAGGGATGGTGATTCTGCTCATGTTGGAGCCTTTCCTCGTCATTTTCAGAGGGTACGGGGGAACAAAAATAATAGTTCCCACCAAATGTCTGAACCAGTTCCAAAGGGGCTTGAAACCGGGAAATACGAAGCATGGAAACGGCGAAGAAGAGGAGGGGATGCAGACAGTCAATACCAAGTTCCTTGCCCACCTTCAAATAACATGAGTAACGGCAGTCGGATACCAGATCCAAATTCATTGGGGATTCTTGGGGCAGCACCAACTGAAAACAACAGGAGGTTTGCTAACGATCGGCCGTACAGGATCCGTCAATCTGGTTTTCCTGCAAGACAAGGTTGAGAGATGGGAGGACCAAGTAAGCCTCTTCTGCAGTGTGGAAGGGTGGCTGATTTGAGAGAAGGCTTTCAGCTTCGACCCTATCCGTTCACCACTGCCAGCGGTATATAATTCTCTGGTTCTTTTTCCACCATGGGAATAAATAGCTGCAGACCTCTATTTGTGTTATGTGGCTGACCCTAGAAAGTTAATCTGCGAAAAAAACATAAAATGGGATATTTGATCCTGACCATTGACCGCCGAGGCCAGTTGAAAAGATGCTATGGTACGTTCAGGGCTAGAGGCATCTTTGCGAGTTGAGTTCGAGTAATTTGTTCGTATATAGCGAAAATTCGGAAGAAGGGGATCTACTTCTCGCTCATTTGGTACGCAACAAGTTCATGAGGGTAGATCCTGCACATACTATGTTCACCCTAAATTGTACATTATCAGTTATTTCAAAAATTTTGATCATTTTTTTCTTCTCCTTTTTGGCTACAATAGTACAATTCGTGTCCTCATTTGTTCATAAGAAATGTAGTTCGATGATTCTTCAAATGTACCCCCAAGTAACCATTGGATTCTTTTTTTTTTTTTTCTCTTTCTCAAAACTTTTATTTAGAAACATTGGCATAGTACACAAAATTTACCATTTGTCAAATATGCAAATGAGATGTTGCAAGCTGATGAGATGGCCTTTGGTTTGACCCTACCAGATATCTCTGATTGGATCACGTAGAAGCCAAATTGAGTAATAATTGGCAGGTGGTTACTGCAAAGGAGTTATTCTTTTAACTTCAAATCTATGATCGTCAAAGGAACAATAACTTCAATTATTATTATAGACGAATATCATATTGTAAGAACAGATGCAATCCATCTTTATTTTGTTTCAATAATTAAAAAAATCGATCATTAGACCCAGGACTTAGAAGGAACTGGATCTATAGTAGCCACTTTGAGGGGAAATAAATATAAATTATAGCAACCACGTATCTATAATGTAATGAAATTACTTGGAACACTCACGGATATTAAAAAAATGAAAAATCTTGATGAGAGTGGTAGGTGATAGCCTACCAAAGAGAGGAGGAGGATAAAATGGTGATTATGAGTTGGAATTTGGAGAAAAGAGGTGTGTGGACTGCGTTCCTGGGGGAAGGTGTGGTCGACAAACCGTTATCACTTTATCTCTACAATTTGCTTCGTCTGCCTCAAACTTCTAACCCTCAAAAACTACATGACGTAACAACAAAAAACAGCAATCTTTGGAATTTACTATTCAACTTCCCCCCCCCTTTTTTTGTTTGTTTCTTCTATATTGCATACCCTTTCTCCATACCTTGAAATAAAATGAGTCCAATACCTATTAAGAACAATTTAAAAAGTAAAAAAGAAGAATTTTGAGAAGAAGAGAGAGTTGAAACCTTTTTTTTAAGTGAAAATTCGAACTTCTGACCTGCAAGAAGATAATTGATGTTTTAACCACACAAACATAGTTCGTAAATATAAGAAAATAGGTAAACGAAAGCGTGAAAATTGAGATATCCATATATGAATCAAATTTATTAATCATAAGCTTTTGGATTGATCGGTGGTTTATTCATCATTAATATGATATAAGAGTCCAAAATACTCTAACGAACAGCTGCTAAAAAATGATATTCGACCAAGATCAACGAGCTAAAGAAGCACGATTTTGATGAGATAAATGTTATAATGTATTTGAAAAGGGTAGCTGCAACTGCAAGAAGGGAGCAGGTCTATGAAACTCTTATCTGCCAAGTGGCAAGTGCGAGTGAAATGGCAAATGGGGCCCTCGCCCTCGGCCTCCTGTTTTGGTTGGCTCTCCCGCGCTTCCTCCTATACTATAAACATCAGCTTCTTTCTCCCCCTCTTATTTCCATGGTTTTCAGACTTTTTACTCTCCCGGCTCTTCCCTCTCTCTTCTGGTAATAACCTTCCCTCTGCTCCCTCTCTCTATCTCCTATCATTTTTTTTCCGTCTTTTGCTCTCTTTTTTTCCCCTGTTCCAAAGTGCATGTAAGTTAATGCTTCAGAAAGCTAGAACTGAAATTTTCTCTGTTTGGAATTTGATGTTTGCACCATTATCCCATTTCAATTTCTCACGTGGGAAACTCAAAAACAAATTTTGTGCATCTTGTCTTGTCTTTTAGATTACAATAACCTCGTCGGTGATATGTTGTTGTTGTTTGTTTTAAGATTATGAACTTCTGATTGGGAACAATAGTTTTAGGAACCACCTCCTAGCTTTGTTAAACATCTTGGGAATTCAAACAATTTGTTGAAAGTTATTTGTTTGATATTGTTTTGTTTCAGATGAATGAGAAACCGTGAAGATTTTTAAAAAATTATGATCGCTCTGCTTTCTTCTCTGTGGATAGAACACAAGGATAAACTTCAAATTCCATTCTTTTAGCTGTTTTTTCTATTTGTAGAAAACTTGAAAGTAGTTTTATCCCTTAAGTGTAAACTGGAACCATGAATTTATGGAGACAAATTTGCTTCAGAACAAAGTTAAGAATGAGGATTCTTTGTTTATTTTTTTGTAGCTGAAGATTGTTGACACTGGCAAGTTGAGGCTTCCCACTTGATAACATTTTACAACTTTGAGAAGGGAAAGATGGACTATGTTTATGGACCTGGGAGGAACCATCTTTTTGTCCCGGGGCCGGTCAATATCCCTGAACCGGTCATTCGGGCAATGAACAGGAACAACGAGGACTATCGGTCTCCAGCCATTCCAGCAATGACAAAGACTCTTCTTGAGGATGTTAAGAAGATATTCAAGACCACTTCAGGCACTCCATTTTTGATCCCTACCACAGGTACCATATTAGTATGTTTCCATGGCTGTGATTGGTTTTATACTAGCTAAAAGTACTTTCCACTTTTTCAAAATTCGTGCGAATCTGACCCTTAATCTCATAGGTGTACCATTTCGAAGTCATTGGATGAAAGTTTGGTTCATTATGTTGCTTGTGAGTTTATGATCTTATGAAATGTTTAGAAATTCAATCTCATTTCCTGCAATGACTCTATGGTAGGTACTGGGGCATGGGAGAGTGCACTCACAAACACACTGTCTCCTGGCGATCGGATCGTGTCGTTCCTCATTGGTCAGTTCAGTTTGCTCTGGATTGATCAGCAACAACGCCTAAAGTTCGATGTCGATGTGATTGAAAGTGAATGGGGTCAAGGTGCTAACCTTGATGTTTTGGCCTCAAAACTTGCAGCTGATACTGCACATACTATCAAGGCAGTTTGCATTGTTCATAATGAGACTGCAACTGGTGTGACTAACAATTTGTCTCTAGTAAGAAGAATACTGGGTAAGCATCTAATGACAGAGTTATATTTCATTTGATCTGTTTTTTGTATTACAACTCAAATACGGGATTGGGAATTTGAACTTACGACCTTTAGGGAAGGTTAGTAATGTCTTGACTGGTTGTACTATATTCAGATTGGCTATGTCATTTGATATCTAGTTTGATTTTGAGTTCCAAGTGTCTATTGATTAGTCAATCTGAAATGGGATTAACAAAAACCTCCTTTCAACTTAGCATTTTCGTAACACTATTTTTGACACAATAGAGTTCGAGTTCAAGCTCTATGTGATTGTTTTCTTTGTAATTTACCTATGAGTTCCTTTGTCAAGTTTTCTATTTGCCATTTATAAGGTCTTAACATTTCTATCAAATTCTCAGATGAATACAGACATCCAGCGCTTTTTCTCGTCGACGGAGTATCTTCAATATGTGCTCTTGATTTTCGTATGGATGAATGGGGGATAGATGTGGCTTTAACCGGGTCTCAGAAAGCACTTTCTCTTCCAACCGGGATCGGCATTGTATGTGCCAGCCCCCGAGCACTTGAGGCATCTAAAACAGCTAAATCCCTCAGAGTTTTCTTTGACTGGAAGGACTACCTCAAGTTCTACAACTTGGGAACATACTGGCCTTACACTCCTTCCATCCAACTCTTATATGGGCTTAGAGCAGCTTTGGATCTGATATTCGAAGAAGGAATTGAAAACGTCATTGCGAGGCACAGCCGCTTGGGCCACGCGACAAGGTTGATTCATGCATATGTTTTGTTGCAGATGCCTAGAAAACAAACAAATAATTCCACATTCCCCTAAAAGTTAATCCTGCAAACAAAGTATTGTGAAGTTCATTCGAAAGACTTATGAAGCTATAATTATAGCATTCATGTTTTCATTTCCGTGTTTTCAGTCCTTGTTCCGAACTCGTTCTAACCATCCCTAATGCATACAGGCTTGCTGTGGAGGCATGGGGTTTGAAAAACTGCACACGGAGGGAGGAATGGTACAGTGACACTGTGACTGCTGTTCTTGTTCCCCCATACATTGACAGTTCAGAAATTGTTAGAAGGGCTTGGAAGAGATACAATATGAATTTAGGTCTGGGCCTCAACAAAGTTGCTGGTAAAGTTTTCAGAATTGGGCACTTGGGCAACCTAAATGAGGTGAATTTTCATCTTCAATACTCGTTTTCTTTACGGTTATATCGTTAAAGTTTCCGAACTTACAAGCATTTTGTTTCCCATTTTCATCCAAAAGTTCTTATAAAATACTTATTTAGTTCTTATTGTTAATCATTTAGCAAGAACTTCATCTATTTTGGGAACTAATATCTCATCTATCATGTGTGGTTTCAAATATTTGTTCATGTAGACATCTATGGTTCTAGATGTGTCTACGTCAGGTAAAATTGACGGGAAAGAAAGAGTATTTTCTTATGCACAATTTAGGAACCGAGGTAGAACATTTGAGAGTTAAGAAAATCAAAATAGAACAAGCATGAAGAAAAGAAATGTGAAATGGGAACTTGCTTGTATCTTTGTGTTCTTCATTTCTCAGTTCAAATTACAGACATTTTAGCATATGAAATATCCACAATGTAACTGTTCTATTGTATCCGTTAAAACATCGATCGGGTCGTGTTTTTCAGTTGCAACTGTTGGGTTGTCTTATTGGTGTGGAGATGATACTGAAGGATGTTGGGTATCCAGTCAAGCTTGGAAGTGGGGTTGCAGCAGCTTGTGCATATTTGCAGAACAACATCCCTCTAATCCCTTCCCGGATTTGATCTTGGTCGAACTCGAACTCGAACTCGTGATTTATTCTCATGCCATTTGCTTTCGCCTACTCTGTAAAGAAAGAACTGTATTGTAACATATATATGTTGTCCACTTTCACTCCTTGAGAGGCATTCATCAGGATGAATGTGTTGGCTGCCTATGTATTGAGAAACTTCAGACATTTTCAACTGGAAATCTGATTTGCATAAACAATCAAACCCCCAATCTCTTTTGTTCTGAATACAAAATGAAAATGAAAATGTTAATGCTTATTGTTGTTAACTGCTTGAATGACACTGTTCTTATTGAATCCTCTTAAAATTCAAGTGGGCAATGTTATCCTTTAGGAACATTTTCTATTCCAAGAGCTCTCTTTTGCACATGTAAGGTAAATGCTTGTATGTGTCAGTAAGTTTTTGTCAAAAGTTAAATGGCTTGTTTGAGTTGCTTTCTTCGATTTAGTTCCTGTAAATCTCACAAATCATCCCTACTGTTAGTATATTTGACATTTTTTTCCTTCTACGTATCAATGAGTAGTCGATATTTTTTATTTGATCCTATTGTGGTTTAATGGTAATTGGTAAGTAAAAAAGAAGGAAATAAATAAATTTTTGGACGAGTAAAATACAATTTGCAAATATCGGTGAGGTTTAATCAAACCATAGGGATTGAATTGAAAATTTTAAAAATCGTAAGGACCAAAGTGAACAAACCTAAAACCATAAATACTAACTTGAAATTCATAAATCTGACCAAATTAAAACTATGACGATGAAATTTGTAATTTAACCAAAAAAAAATTACACGTAAAAAATTGTGAGTGAGTAAACATATATATTAAAAGTGGACCACACATCAATGATGACTCCATGGCCCAATGGATGAGGTGCTGGTCTATGGAACCAGAGATTCTGGGTAGGATCCTCAATGGGGTCGTTTTGTTTAATATTTTTGGCTACCATTTTATTTTTGACGCTTCAACTGTCCTTTTTCATTCATTTTGTTCTCTTTAAACTATAAACTTAAAGTTTTTTCCAAGTACAAATAAATGGAAAGAAAAAAAAAAGAAAGAGAAAAATTCAATTCCATTAAAACAAGAAACAAAATCATAATGTTGAACTCAATTCAATCAATCCTTATGCACTACTATTTTTCTATCTTTGAACTTGAACCTAAGTCTAGAATTGATATGCAGTTGTATGAAAAAATATGGTCACAAATTTCTTAGAGCAGTTTGACTCGACATTTCATGATATAGTGTGTTATGTGTATGATTCGTAGTTATTTTGTAATTTTGTTAAATGTTAATTGTGTTTGTTAGATAAGTAGGCTTAAATCCGAGGGTTATTCAAATTGATATACATTTAAATTTGAAAGCTTTATAAAAGTATTTCGCACATCCATGCTACATATAGATACTATAATTAGATACAGGTGGTTCAATTTGATATAATGAAAAGATTTTTTTTTTGTCAAGAGAATCGTTATTTGTTCACATGTATTATAATGAATTAAGCTATGCTCGAGTTGAAAGAATGAAAATATATTATAACATTTGGAAAAATACTTCAAACATTTCAGAAACTTGAAAGTAGTTTTCGAAGGGTATCGAAAACCCACTTCCATTTCCCAAATCTAAGTATGATGAAGCCATATCAATGTATCAATTGATCATTTTGACCGTTATAATAAGACAATGAAAGCTTTTAAACAAACAAATGAGCGGCTGGACTATTTGTATTCGATGATGGTGCGGTGCCTTCATATTGAAAAAGAAAGAAATCTAAAAACAACCAATAATTATTTTGATCCAATCCAAATACAGAAAACACAGGAGATTTAGTATGACTTTCCACAATGTATCAAACTCCCTGCACCCAAGAAAAGACCAAATATGGCGGCACTTCCAAGTGTTGTTTGTCCAATATACCTGATTTTCAGAAGTCCTGGCACCTGCACAAACCAACGCAAGTTTAAGTTCAATTGATATTTTAAAACTGTAATTTGTTCGCGTCAAAATGAACTTTGATTCCCATCTATGATTGCTAGGAACTCTATTAAACAAAGAACTAATCCTACCATACTTGGAAGTGGTAAATCCATTGGGTTCTAACTCTAAGGACATTAATATAATGTAGTAAGAATGAAGAACGAACAAAATAGCTTAAGACATGCAATGGACATTTTCAGGGGCAATCAAGCCATAGCCTTTTCTGCAGATAAAATGACGTAGAAATTCAGAATAGTAACCAGTTCGTTCTAAGGAATCTATGGGGTTCCCCGGGCCCTAACTCACAATTTAGAATAGCATAAAGGAGAAAATTAAGGTATGAGATCATGAAATTCATCCAAGAAAGGGCAAATGTGCCGTAGCTCTTTTTTCACTTCAAAGTAAGTTGAACATAAATTTCAATACCATGCTAAAAAAAATTCTTAAATAGCGCCTATATTTGGATCAGAGAATATACCTTAAATCTGATAGCCTCATAAGTCCCATAAACAGCACCTAAAGAAAAACGAATAAGTAGTTTTAGAATTGTTAACCAAAATAGATCACCCTTCAGATGGAGCAAATCGTATCAGTTAAAACTATAGCACACACCAAGGGAACAATGGGGAAAGAAAAATGTGGGGAATCCAAGTCATACTCCCAAGACAGTAGTAACATATATCTTGCAACACTGATTGAAGGAAACTCTACAACATAAAAGAACGTTCAACATTAATATTGGAAAAAATAAATGAGTGATCATTGATTAAAAAGGCTTCATTGTTGATGTGTGTCTTCAAAATTGTGGCACTGGACAGTTCATAATGGCCAACACTCTCATAAATCAAAAACTGAGAAAGAAACTAAAGAACTTAAAAGAATATCAATCTGCTGTTACGTGTTAACTCTAAATAAAGGTAAGGGTTTGTGCATTAAAAATTCAGTACATTGCAGGATGGACCATAGATCACCTTATGTTTGATAAATCAAACAGTGGCTGCAAGATTTAATTCACTTTTCGGTTAGCTTTGTGAGGCATACAGAAAATTAGCCAATGGAGTACAACAAACCCCTAATTCCAAAGCATAATATTAGTAGACTCCATACCTAACAAAACGAATCTACTACATTCCTTTCAAAACTAAGCATTACCATGGCAATAGAAAGCTAAGAAAAATGATATGGTCTAACAAACAGATCTTTACTTCACAATAACTGCAGCAAACCAAGCTTACAAATGAATGAAAAAGAATCAAGGTTACTTTATGGTATAATTCTGGCTATTATAGTATTATTGAAAAGCAAGGGCGCAACTATCCCAAACATAGCAACTTAATCATCAAGAAAGTCGAAAAACAATCAAACCATCCCTAATTTCACTTCAAAACCAAATATGCACGATCGTAGAATAGTAAATAACAACAGAAAGGCTAGACGTTTGAAAAGACGGTAGTTAAATAAAAGTTGGAAAAAATGTTAGGGTTTTCCTTACCGACGGCTCCGCCAACAGCGCCGCCGACGGCAACTCCGGCAGTAACTCGAGCCAAGCAGCTATCTCTCGCCATAGTCGTTTGAAGAAACGCAGAAAGATTCTATTCCTCGAGAAGTTAAAGCTTCGAATTAGATATCTACCATCTCCTGAGAAAGATTTCGGAGGAAAATAATTCTCTGACCTCGAAATTGAACTGAAAGTTACGGCAGATTGGCTGTTCTTTTGTGGGCCTGCACTCCAGCACAATTAATACCAAGACCGTGGGCCAGGCCTGAATATTAACAAAGAATGGCCGGGCCGGCTGAAAAATTAGAAAGCATAAGAAGTTAGAATTAGAAAGCATAAGAAGTTAGAAAAAAATAAAAAAAATTCCGTTGTTGGGAATCGAACCCGGGTCCCCTGGGTGAAAACCAAATATCCTAACCGCTGGACGACAACAGATTTGTGAAAGAATTTAAATTATTTAATAAATATTTATTATAAACTCTAGTTACAAAATTAGTGACTCAAATTGTTTATGATTCAATTTGATAAACTTATAATATCAGTATTTAAAATGAGATAAAATTAGGTTCATAAAATAGAAAACTTTTTTTTTAGAAAACAAAATAGGAAAACTTAAGTTTATACATTTGAGATCATCCATACATCCTATTAATATAATATGTCAACAAAATTTAAAATTTTCATATATTTATTCTTTCATAACTATTTGTATATTTTACAAAGTTGTTTCCACCTAACAAAATATATATATATATAATATGAAATTTACGAATAATACAAATTGATTACCGCTAAGCTATGCTCGCTTTGACGAATCATGCAATATAATATTATATATATATGATATCATAACCTCATTATTGAAAGTATATTCTAATTACCGCTCGCTTTGACGAATCATGCAAATTGATTAAATTTGTGTAACATTGAAATAAAGTTAGATCCATGAATAATTAATGCAGCATGGAAGATAATTTCAAGTTGGTGAAGCCAACCTAAAATACTAGAAAACATAACAAGTAGAAAAACAAAACAAAAATTGCAGTGTCAAGAAATCAACCTAAGTCTCCATAATGAAAGTTATATATATCCTAATTGCTGGACAATAGCAAATTTATGTTTATATTAAACATTCTGAAATGAAATTTTAAAATGTAATTCATTAACCACTAGTCCATGGAACCATTGATATTAAAGTTTAATTTAATAAAATATAAAAGGTCCCACTGAGATTTGAACTCGGGTTCATCCAATGTCCTAACCACTAGACCATGGGACCATTGTTACTTTGGAATTAAATTTGAATATTAATACGAAATTATGTAACATTAAAAATAAAGTTGAATTCGGGAATAGTAATGCATAATTTAAAGTCATGCCTCCAAAAACTTTCCGATGCCGAGAATCGAACCCTCTCCTGGGTGAAAGCCAGATATCCTAACTGCGGGATGACAACGGATTTTATAAATTGTTCAAGAACATAATATTTACATTATAATAATTTAGTTTGAGAAATTAATACTTAATTTTTTTATTACAAATTAATACTTAATTACATAATGATAATGAGAAAATTTAAATTCATATTTTGAGATCATGGATTCAGAATCCAACGTCCTAATCACTAGACCATGGGTCATTCTTATTTTAGTTTTAAATTAGAATATTAATGTTAAAATTATGTCACATTTTTTTTCTAAAAAAAATTGTGTCACACTTGAAATAAACCTAAATCAACATCATGGAAGATTATTTAAGTTGGTGGGTCGGGTTAGAAATATTAGAAAGCATAAAAATTTTAAAAACAAAACAAAAAAAGCGAAGATAATTTCAAGCCCGTAGGCCCGGCCTAAAATGTTAGAAAGGATAAAAAATAAAAAACGAAAAAGAATTTCGTTGTTCATAATCGAACCCGAGTCTCAAAGGGCGAGAGCGAAATATCCTCTTGTAAAATGTAATTCATTAAACCGAAAATTGTCTTTGTTTTATGAAGAATGACTATTTGCTATTCACAAAACTTAATTATATACACAATTTATATGTTAAATACGAATTACCCAAATTGTTTATGATTCAATTTGAAAAATTTATAATATCAATATTTAAAATGAGAAAAACTTAAGTTGCAGTATTACATTTGTTTAACATTTTGAAGTAGAGTTAAATTCCTAAATAATACATCATATCAATTTATTTGCATATTTATTTTAACATAGAGAGAAAAAAATATATATTAGTTTGAGAGATGATGGAGGTGCGATGATCCATTGTGGAAAATTTTCATGTGTCGTAATTTCTTTGTTGAAGCTCTGATTTTACCTTTATAAATTATTTTTCCAAATGTAAAAAGTCGTTGGGTGGAGTTTGTAATCTCAAACTTGGTAACTACTCTCTTAAACTTAATCTCGGTTGCATCTGGAGAGACCACAGATATATTGTCACCCTCACATTTTGTTGAACATAAACATTACCGTAATCTTCTTAAGAGTTCCATAGACAGGCCAAGTTTGGATTAATTTGGCCAGACCCATACAGAACTCTCGAATGGCTCATGATTCGTTTGCTCGGCTTATTTGATCACCGATGGTGATCAGTTTTGATGGAAGCTCATCACATAAGCAGCCACGCCAGCAACATGGAAGTCCCAGACCCATGATCTTGTGGTTTGGGTTTTGAGTTCCTTGCTTGCGAAAACAGAGACCACTGCTTCCATGGTGGCAAGCTTCTCGCTTACACCATCACTTTCAGTAGCGAAGCAATTGTAGTTCCTTTTATAGCTCCTGACATATAAACGTTCTGTTTCACCAGAGTTTCCAACAACTGATTGAAGCAGATTCGAAGGGTGTGAAATTGAGCCGTCGCCATGTTTTTAATGGACCCAGGTACACAATATGAACCTCTCAATCGCGACCATTAATAAAGCAGATTCAAATTAAGCCATAACGGCTTCTGAGCTCACTAACAAATAACAATAACTCAAGGATATGCTCTGGTTTCACCATAGATGCCATCTTTTTAAAAGTGTCAATAGCCTAGTAATGCCTAAGGTGATCAAATCCATTCATTACAGCAAATGGAAGAATAATGAGGGTAATATGAGGAGCTCCGAGGTGTTCACGTATACTTGTAGCCCAAACAATCTTCTGTCTGTGAGTGATGGTGAATCCTCTTTTCTTTCTTGTAAGAAGGATTCAGAATCCTTCTGGACAGAACTGTCAGGAGAAGATGTCGAATCCTTGTATTCTTCATACATTCAATTTCCATCCACTGGATTTTGATTTCTGTGGAAGTAGACATCATCCATGCCCCATTTTTGATAATCTACTGCAGCTCCAATTCATTCTTCTCCATATGAGAAGCTAGAATGCTTAGACATTCATAAACCCCATCAACCAGAGGGTTTGACTTGTCTTCAACAAAGAATGGTTGGATCCTCTGGTTTATCTCAATCCAGCTGCAACCAGGGCTTTTCCTCAATCCTAGTTCTTTCATTTTTTGTCGTACTTTTCGTACCTCCTCCCATTTATTGACAGAAGCACACATATTCGACAGCAAAATGTAAGTAGATGGATCATCAGGGTCTACCTCCATAATCATTTTACCTATTTCTATGCCTAGAACGAAATCATTACGCAATCGACATGCAGAAAACAATGTGCTTAACAATCCAATATGATTCCTAGTGTCTTCTGATCTTTGAAGAATTTCATAAGCTTCATGTAATCTTCCAGCACGTCCAAGAAGATCTATCAAGCATGAATAGTGTTCAATGCCAGGCTTAATGTCGTACTGAATGATCATTTTGTTGAAATATTTATATCCTTCATCAACCAATCCAGCATGACTACAAGCAGATAGAACTGCCAGAAATGTAACTGAATCTGCTCCTACGTTTGACTTCTGCATTTCATCAAAAAGCCTCAAAGCTTCTGAAGCTTGGCCATGAGATCCATACGCAGTGATCATTGTTGTCCACGATACAAGATCCCTCTCAGGTAATTGAAGAAAGAGTTTCCGGGCTTCATCAACATCACCACATTTAGCAAACATATCAAGAAGAGCCCCCATAACAATTTCATTGGTTTCCAACTTATGACTGATAATGCAGTTGTGAAGCTCCCTGCCCTTTTCCAAAGCTGCTAGCTGCGAACAAGCTGATAAGGTGCTGGAAAACGTAACAGCATCCGGTTTTACGTCGTGTTCTTTCATGTTATCATACACACGAAGAGCCTGAATGTGATTACCCACCAAGACATATCCAGAAATCATAACATTCCAAGAAACTACTTCATTCTTGGATATATTTCTGAAGATAGTTTCAGCTGAATAAACATATCCACATTTGAAATACAGATCAATTAGAGAAACGTCAATAAAGATATCAGAATTCATCCCATTTCTCAAAATAAACCCATGTATAAATTTCCCGTGCCGAGGTTGAGCGGATCTCGAGCTAGCCGATATTATGCTGGTCAAAGTTGTCAAAGTCGGTTTGGTTCCTGCGTCAGTCATCCTCTTGAGAAGTTCAATGCAGGATCTGCTATCACCTGTCAAGCTATAACCAGTGATCATGGAATTCCAAGTAATCGCATTCTTTCTCGGGATTTGCTCAAAAACTTCTTTGGCCATCTCTAAACAACCACATTTTCCATACAAATCCACAAGCGCAGAAAGCACAAAAGCATCCAGCAAAACCCTCCTATCTATCAACTCCCTATGAATCTCTTTACCTTTTTCCAAATTCAAAAGCCTTGTACATGAAGATATAACAATAGTAAAAGTCACCGAATTAGGCTCGAAACCTGAATCTTTCATTTCATCGAACATTTTGAGGGCAGTCTCAGCCTTATCATCTTGAAAATAACAAGAGATAACTGTGTTCCAACACCCCACGTCTCTATGAGGCATTTCATCGAACAGATTAATGGCATAATGAAACCGACCACACTTCACGTACATATTCATCAGAGAGCTCGACACAAAAACATCCCAAATCAAACCCGTTTTAATCAGATGACTATGGACCCTTCTCCCACAAACAACTCTACCCAATCCACCACACGCCTTAAGAACAACTGGGTAAGTGTAACAATCAGGTCTTACCTCAGAATGACACTTCAATTGGTCATATAGTTGCAGGGCTTCAACGAACATGAAGTTCTTGGTGTAAGCAGAGAGAAGAGCATTCCACAGAGAAACATCCAATGAGCAACAGGTAGTCTCAAAAACAAGCTCCGCTGATCTGTAATCATGGCAAGAGGAGTAAAAATCGATGAGGGTTTTGCAGAGGGCGATGTGGGATTGAAAGCCTGAAGAAAATATTCTCTGGTGAATAAGCTTGCCCTGTTTCAGTAACTTGGAGCTAGCGCAAGTTCTCAAAGCAGATAACAGCCTCGTATAGTCCATACATTATAGTTTCAAATCGAAAGAAAAAATGTGAGGGTAATGGAACAGAGGGAGAGATTCCAGAAGGCGGAATTGCTTGGGGAGGCGAGAGCTCATGCAGTATTAAGAAAAGGGGTAAAACGAATGGGACTTCATCAAAACAGGGGAGAATCGAATCGAGAAAAAAAAAATTATATTATATATATATTTATACTAAGAGCCAAATAAACAAAAAAGAAAAAAGAAGCTAAAGTCGTTATGACTTATGGTATTATCATTCTCCAATCGTACATTTGTTCTACTCAATGCATAAAAAGAATGATTGATTTTTGTTCGTTAATATTTTGAAGATCAAAATAGTATTTTAATCTTTTTTTTTTTAACTATAGAATTAATTTAAATTAAATGTGGTACTGTAAATAAAAAATATATTATATACAATTTAAACAAATAGGAAAATTATAAAAGTAAAATAAAATTGCTTGAACATTGGTCCCATGGTCTAGCAGGTAGGACATTGGACTCTGATCTAGTAACCCGAGTTCAAATCTTGGTGGGACTTTTTTCTTAAATCAAATATTTTTTAATTTCTACATACACTTTCATGAAAGTCATTGCAGTTTATAGTAATATATGAAATGAAACTATTAATCTTTCATTATTTTTAGTTCAATTCGATCAAAAATATTTTTTAATCTCTGCATAGACTTTCATGAAAGTCACTGTAGTTTATAGTAATATATAAAATGAAATTATTAATCTTTCATTATTTTTAGTTCAAACCGAATGTAGAATTGAGAACTCGAAACTCAATTATCGTTCTTTGACAATTATGAGTTGTTTTATTCTACCACAAGATGTGAAAAATAATGGAAAATGTTAGGGATCAAACTCACGACCTCTTAGTTGAAGATATATGTCAATTACCACTAAGTTATGCTCGCTTTGACAATTATGAACTACTTTTGTGCTACTACGAGATGTGAAAAATAATGAAAAATGTCGGCAATTCAACAATGATATGATCCTCAGTTTGTGTGAAAATACTTATATCATTGGATCAATTAATAATGAACTCAAGAAAAATCAATTAACAATACTCGATTAATAAGTATACTTTTTAACCAACTTAAAGCATTGCTCAATCAAATAATCAATCATGATGTTAATTACACTAAAAAAATGTATTGTTATTATTATCAATTCTACTCATTTTGAAGTTAAAAAAAAAAACTAATTTTCTAAAAGTTATTATTATTATTATTATTATTAACCTACTTAAAATATTTAATTTACTTCATGGTTTCGACATCTTGTCAACAGAAGAAAATTTGGAGTAATAAAATAACCACTACTTAACATGTAATTCTTTCTCGTTTACAACTAAACTTTGAAGAATTGTGTTTGATTTTATGCTAACATCTAAATCCACGTGAGAGATTACTAGAAATATTGAATCCAGAGAACGAAATCTACACACAGTCCTAAAAGAATGAAAAAATATTCTGGAAGAATTCATCCAAAGGAGAATTTGAATACTGATACTGATGGCTGCAAACTTCAGCAAATCTGAAGGAAAAGAAACAGTTTGTTTTCAGGCTGGGGAAAACTTTATAGTGTATTGTGATCAAACAAAAATGCAAATAGAAAAGTAGTCAAAAGTTTCTTTCCTTACACACGTGAAACGCGTTCAAGGGACTCGAGCATCATACCACATAATACACCGCATCCGAGCGGGCAAAAGTAGTCAAAACTAGAAGTCTGAAAGTTACAGCTTCTTGTTAAATAGAAAAAGAAATGGAATTATGAACTAAGCTCATAACAGACAGACGATGAGTACAAAAATATGCAGATGCATTCGCTTATCGGATTTACATTGCAGCTGATATGAACAACAGCCAGCAAAGTTACTAAAAATTTACATTTCTCACACTCAATCCCCCACATAGAACACATATATGGGAGAAAAATTGAGGGACCCCCAAAAAGAGAAAATAGGGCAGAGAAACAAACAAGAAAATGAAGGTAAAAAACAGGGGAACAATTAAAAACACAAACCCCTCTAGTTATCCCTCTAACTCAATACCAGATATTGCCTTTTCTTTTCTATCCTAGGGATGGATAAAACCAAACAAATTGATCATATTATCACTTACCAGTAGTATAAGGTGTGAGCCTGTAAACATCCTGTTCATTTACAATCAGTTGGATTTGACTGACCCATTTCGACATGTCAGTGACCCAAGTCCTCACTACCGATGCCCACACTGGACTTATCGATCATACGCACATTATATTGATCATATACTCTTGCTCGGTTCTCTGCCCACCACTGTTCTGCTTGCTTCTCGGTAAACCGTTTCCGACTGCAACCAAAAAGAAAAAAGGATATGTTATAAATTCTGCACCATCTAAATATGATGGACCATCTGTTTTACACAAGTGATACAGATGTTTTATACTGTGAGATTAAACAGATGGGCCACCACGTTACTTATCAACTCCATTCAACATGATTCACAAAATTCAACATTAAACAATAGGCCAGACAACCTAGCCACCCAAAGGAGAGGATAACAGGTTGCTGTTCTGCAAAATAATCCATATGGGAGCTAAGGCACGTGCCTTGGTTTTGATAATCTGATTACGTTATTTAAAATACTAGCTTAAGATCAAAATAACGAGGCTGAGGAATTATACCTGAAACGCACTCGCTTGAGATCTTTGGCACCGCCCTGAAGAGAGGTAAACGTGATATATACACCGGGTTCATCTTGCTCGACCCATTCAGCATCATGACGAGAATCACTTTCTTTAACCTTGTTACCATTTCTAGCTGCTGAATCGGAATTGCCTTGTCTGTTATGGCCTGAACTACGGTTACTTGCAGTGCTGGACCCATTAGATAGCAAGTGGCTGTTTGATTCTATAATCTCGGCTTCTAGAGGCATTGTTTGACCATTAGATCGGTCAATCGATGGAGCCACCACTTCATTAAAGGGAGGACTGGAGCCCAAGGAGGCAAGAGAAGGTGATTTGACATTTCGAGCTGCTCCAACTGGAAGTCTTTCTGCCATTTCCTTCAACTGTTGAAAACACATGAAAAAGAAATTTGTACCTTTAAGTAAAAGAGATAAAAGAAAACATAACTGAGTGATGATCTATCTATCTACTGAGTAAAATCGAAAATTTTACTTGGCACCTGAAAGGAGTGCTAACAGAAAGTAAGACACGACGTCCAATAACTTGGACCACAACCAGGTACAGCAGCTACTACTTAAGCTAACGCCAGATTGCCAGCCAAAAGATTTCAATGTTATTTTTCTAGTCCTTAGTATGTGCATATAATCAACAAAATAAATAAATTAGCTCCACTTGGCTTTAATTCTTTGAATTACCGAGTACATAAGTAGACTTCTCTTTGCCAAGTAAAATGCTAGACAAACCCTAATCACCTAATGGGTAAAGGTTAGGACATAGTGGTGAAAGAATCTTAATTCATCAGTGCAATTTGAGATTCACGCAAGAGGCTGTGGGTTCAAAAAAGTGGTAACCTCCATCTAGGGTAACTAATATCACTCAGAATTCTTCTCTATCGAAGTTATAAAGCTAGATAGTGGTCCCCAATTCCAAATTCTGTGAGCATGAAGAGGTTGTATTTATGGGTAAGTTAAATGGGGAGGAGAGATAGAAGCCAAGGCAGTATTCCGTTGATCAATAATAAAAAAGAAAACAAATAGGTAGTCATAATTCGTGATTTACTATTTGTAATTTTACTATGAAGGCATACCATACACGATAATGTATGGGAGCTCAAGCAAATGACATGAAAGATGCCTATTTGCAGGTAAGAAACAGAAATAATAGCAGACATACATATATAAATCCATAAAATTAAACAAAAAAAAAAAATCATGAACCAGCATACCATCACATACTAGAAAGAAACATCTTACTTGGGCAGTGAGCGACTTGATTACTTCCTTTGCTGCATTGCACTTTGTCGCTTCTCCTGCAGCAAATGATAGTGCTTCCTTCAACTGTTTGGTCGTTCTTTCCAACTCAACTTCTTGAAGTTGGGCTTTGCGCGTAAGATTTTCAACCTGAAAAACCCATTGGTAAGGCCTGATGCATTTCAGGACTGCTAAGTAAACTATGGTTTTCGTACAACAAGGAAGACGTAGCAAGAATAATCTACAACTGAATCGAAGGACATTGAATAAGTTAAGAACTGTTCCATTTCTAAAGCAAAGGTTGTAGAATTAACATTTTATATAAATATAAAAGAGAGATTTTAGTTGATAGAAAGAGGGAGAGAAAAGATTTCAACTGACAAAAGAACTTCTAAAGAACTCCATTCGGCATAAATAAAAGAAGAGCGGTACTTAGAAAAACTCTGGAGAGAGCACCAAGATGATCCAAGAAATTTGATAAGCTATGGTTCCTTTCCAATATTTATTTTATTATATAAATTCATTAATTTGTATTATGGACATTTTGACAATGAAATTGTTTGTTAATCCACAATAATAAGGAAAGGCACCTTGATTCCACATCATCAATTTTCTTTTTATTAGAAACCAATTTTTCATTGAGAAATGAAAAAATGTAATACAAGTACAGAAAACAGCCCGACTAGAGAATACCCCTTTGAGAAAGGGGCACCATCATCATTTATTGTATCCTAGAAATCAAAATAATACTACTATGGCTTCTCCCAAGCCTTGAAGTGGCTATTTCTATGGAAAAAATCTTGATTTACATGATACCTTTTTGCTAAGAAAAATATTAATCTAGCTACATCACCACTTATTAGTTAACTTTCATATACCATTAAATGCAAGTGCAACCAAAATGATAAGCATGAGAAATCATTTGATCAGCTCTATTCAAGAAGCTTACAGAAAAATTGATACTGTGTACCTGAGCTTTTAACTTAACAACCTCCTGTCTAAGACTATCGTTTGTCCTTTTAGCATCATCTACTGCAATCTTTGGTGAGGTAAGACCTCCAAGAGTTGGGGTAGGTGTTGTTGAACGAGGTGGACTTGCTCGCCTTGATATTGGGGATGTTGCTCTGGAGACAATTCTAGAACCAGGAACTGAAGCTGAAAAGAACTTTTTGGATGACCCAAACACTGGATTAAATGATTTAGAAATAGCTCCCCACTGGGATCCTCCATTTGGAACGGGTGACACCCTGCTACTATTACAATCAAATTTTTTGTTTTTCTTGTAAGATTGGTTTTCAACTTGCTTCACAGATTCCATGGAAGAAAACCGAGCAAGTTGAGCACGAGACTTGACAGATTCCGGTTTCTCATCTTTCTCAACAAATTCAGTCGACCCTTGATTGATGCTTCTTCTTCGGCTCACTGAAGACTGAGAAGAAGCATCAGTTTCAAGCGCCTTCCGTAGTTTGTTATAACAGTTATCACATACACGATAAGGTTTGTTAGGATTTGGGGCCATAGAAGCCTTGTGACATTTCTTACTGCTGCATGAATGACAGAAAACAAGTCCACAGTTATAACAGTTATGCCTCTTCCTTTTGAAGTTAAATGGTAAGTGGCATCCTGAACACATAGACTGATCAACACCAGAAACCCATTTATGAAGGCAGATAGCTGCAGTAAAATTTGTACCACATGCAATGCTTTTGACTTGCTTGTCTTTCAAAGCTTCTACTAACGTTGGTGAATTTCTATCATCTGTATCACCATGACCCAAACGACCATTTGCACCCTTGCCCCAAGTGTAGACTTCAGTTTTTGAAGTTAAAACAGCAACATGATAAGCACCACAAGCTATTTCTTCCACAAAACTTTTGGAAATCTTTCCTTCAATTCGAACTGGAACCTTCCCATCAGCATGAGGATTTCCTAACTGGCCATAAACAGGACTTCCCATCGTGTAAACATGGCCAGATGTTGTAAGGGCGACTGTCAGGCTGTGACCACAAGAAACTCGACAAAAATTAGGTTCAACAAGAGCTGCGACACAAGTAGGCACAAGTTTAGTCTCTTTGTCACCGTGCCCTAGTCGACCCTTATCCCCATCTCCCCATGTGAATAGCTTCCCTGAAGAGCAGTTGCTGGAACTTGAGCTTCCAACCATAACTTCAACTACTGCAGCAGTATGCCAAACACCACAAGCAGCCCGCACAGTGCGTAGACCCTTGAGGGATTCCACTTCTCTAGGCATTGAGACACTGTTGCGATCTCCATGGCCTAAAACACCAAACGTTCCATCACCGAAGGTAAAAAGTTGCCCTGCAGATGTTACAACTGCAGTGTGCCAAGGTCCACAAGAGATAGAAGAGACGTGTATGCCCTCCAATGGTCCATTTATCTTTTTAGGTATCCAGTGGCTTACTTCATTCCCATGGCCAAGAAGTCCAAAATTGTAAGTTCCATCACCCCATGTGTACAAATCACCAGAAAGTGTCACAGCACATGTGTGATACTCACCACAAGATACCAATTCAATGTTTGTATTACCAAGGGCATCTATAAGCTTTGGTTGCAAAACATCAGAATCGACACCATGCCCAAGCCTGCCTCCTGATTCCTCCCCCCAGGTGAAAATTTCTCCTTGCTTGGTCACTAAGGCAGCATGGCGTCCACCACAGGCAATGTTCTGTACGTCCAGAACTACAGCAGATTCCAGGGCTTTAGGCAGCAAAGAATCCATTTTTATGCTTAAAGAACTTCCAACTCTATGACTTCCACCACCAAGAATGCCATCCCCAGTTCCTTCACCCCAAATGAAAACGTCCCCCAAGGCATCACCATCATCGTGACCTGAGCCTTGGCTGGATGAGCTGACAGCACTTGATAAACTAACTCTAAAAGCATCAATCGCCATTGCTTTCATGGGACCATGCATGTCTGAACTACCTGATGATAATGAATTGACTGATATACTGGCAGAATCAGAAGGGAAGAAGCCCTTTGGAGGAACAGCATACAGTATCACATCCGATAGTGCCTTATCCATTCCATTTTTAGGAGGACTTTCATATGGACTATGAAGTCGAAAATCACCATCCTAAATTTCGAGGGGGGAAAAATTAGTTATCTGAATTTACTTTGCTGAATAGATAAGGAGATAAAAGGAAGAAATAAGTTCACCTTTTGCAAGCTATCATTACTTCCAAATGGTGAATTAAGAGGCGAGCTTCTTCTGGTGTAAGTTCGAGGACTATTTGCTTCAGACTGCATTCCATCACTCCTAGATTCTGTTCTCCATTTACGGTGGTGGCTACGGGAAATTAATGTTTTCAAACCATTGAACCAAACCTCAGCTTCATCTTTATCCTTGCAAATCTAGCAAGCAGAATAAATTTCCAGATTATAATAGATTTGAAACCACAAAGTAGACAAGAAGGGTGAGGCCAATTTATCTTGTCCACTATAAACATAAGGTGAGGCCAATAAACTGAATATAAACATAATAATCAAAACTACATACCAAATCTAAAGATCTGTCGTTATATATTAGAGAAAATGACTGATATTCCTTCTCTGGCCGTGGATACCTTTGAAATATTGGCTGGAAAGTTTTGTGAAGCAGATTTGATCAGTATATAGCATGCGTATATCATAAGGTCACAAGTAAATAATCAATGATTCCCATTAAAGTTTTTGGTTGAAGTAAGCCTCAAAATATAAGTTAAATCATATGTTTGTTCCCAAACTTTCTCACTTATTCTATTTTGATTCTTATATTTCCAAATATTCTGCTATGATCACTAAACTTTGCATAAAAATGGATTTTGACTGTTGTGTTGTTAAATTTATATGGTTAATTTAAAAGCTCTCTTACATGCACCAAAGTAAACTTATGCGTTTTTTTTTTTTGTCCTTTTCTTTTGTTGTTCCTTGATATCAAGTTTAGAAAGGGTAGGAAAAAGAAAAGTTCAGAAAGGGTTGCCTAGTTGTCCTATTAGAAGTTTTCCAAAAATTTATTTTTATGGAATTCCAAGGACTAGAACAAATATATATATATATATATCAAAATTAGTGTGAAAATTCAGTAACCCAGATAATATTTAAACGTAAAGCAAATGCCAAAATACTATTATTCATTTTCTTTTTATGTGAAAGAAAAAGACCAAAAAAAAAAAAAGGTCCACACTGAACTCATGAGCACAAGGTGAAGGATAGTGTTTAATGATCCAGATCCTGGACAAAAATTACAATAGGAAAGCAAGTTTTACATAGTACCGTCAAAACGCAGTGTACCAAAGATATCTTCTCCTTAAGATTTCTATTCTACTCTTTTTCTTGATTATAGGCTGACACGTGAACAGCTCTAGAAAAAATTTGACATAGCTGACATGCAAGCAGCTGAAAATTTCTAAGCCTATCACATTCTTAAACAACGTACGCCTACCTTACAGTAAACAAAGAATTAGTATTCTTTAGATTATTAAAGTTCAGCATCATAAACATTACCGTTTCCCTTGATAATTATCACAATATCACATTAGATGCAGATATATGTGGATTTCACCACAAAGATGGGGAGATGGGAGGGGGTGGTGGTGGGGGAGAAGAGACATAGGTATTAAAGAAATCTAATCTTTAAAAAACTGATACTTACAGTGCGTTGCCCAGATATTATTCTAGAAACATGGCTTAGTTTAAGGAGTTTCTCCTCTTTCCCTGAAAACCAAATTAGAACAGACTCATCCTGAAAACATAAAACATTTTTTATCAGTTTGAGTTCTTATGATTACTACCCCATGCAACTAAGATCAAGAAGAGATGAAAACATAGTGGAGCACCATTATCAACCAAAATAAAAGAAAAGAGTATAACAAGAGTTTTCTTCTTCTTTTTTTTCCTTGATAACCTAGAATTGAAGCTTTTTAGCTCTACTTCCCTATAGCCGGAAGGCACCCGCACCCACCCAAAGTCTGGACCCAGTAGACATCAAGAGTTTTTGGTACTATACCAAGCTTACTCAGAGGTTCGAACACGGAACCTCTTGGTATGTGTTACCAAAAGAGTCCATGCCCTTACCAACACATCAAACTATCTGCTCTTCTTTTCTTATACAACTCAATCAGAATATAATTTCGTAAAAAATATCATGTCATCCAATCGGACATCCCTTTCTTCTATGATGAATGATCGAGTTCCAAGTAAATATGGCTACACAGACAATGACTCTAGCAAAATTGGTTGCCTAGATATTTTCAGAAGATGCAATTATCTCATAAACATGATCTCATCTAGCAATGTTCATGCACTTTACGGTGTTTGCTTATCCTATGAAAAGGTAGACTCACGCATGTCGCATACAACAATAATGAGTAATACACAAGTGTAATCTTTAAATAAACGCAAGAACAAATTTATTTAAACAGAACCAAACTTACATTGGAAAGCCGGAAAGGACAGAATTTTGGTTTTCCCCTTCTTCCATACTTTAGCAGATAAGCTCCCTTCTTTAGAGCAATAATGGACTGAAATATGTAAAACAGCAAAAGGCATTACACACCATGCGTGTGGAGACCATCTAAGTGGCTTCCAGAAGTTTAGTTATCAAGTGGAGAAAATATAGGAGCTATAGATTCCAGACAAGAAATGTAGTTCACAAACAAACATAATAAGAAAAGAAAATATTATTTTGATATAAAAACCAACTTTAAATCGGGCCGAACTCACACCTCTCAAGAATGCTAGTAAAGAGATGACCTTTCAATTATTTGTCAGTAACACTTGCACTATAATATAAAAATAAAATAAACTGTGTATTAATCATGGTTTCCATCTTCCTCTCTGCAGTCTAAAATGCCATGTTGCCCTTACTTATTAAAAGCCTTGAACATGTTGCCAATTGACATTGTTAGCTTAACGACTAGGCTTTGGAATCTACTTGACTATTTGGACCAATAACTGAACATACAACACGGGAAAGAAAAGCACCTCTTGATTCCTTTGCAATAATTGCTGATGAAAAATAATACATAATAGCCAAAGTAATGTCGATCCGATGAATTAAATTTAGATCAAAGGCATCAGTGTTGAGAAGGGATGATGTTGACTCGTTGTGTAAGAAGGTTGCCTAAGATTTAGATCAACAAGAGTGGATGTGGTTCGGTTTGTCTAAGCAATTTTCAAAATCATACATCAGCAGATCATATGAAACCATCCAACGTTATTATTTTTTACCAATGCTAAATTGCCTCAATGGGACCTGAAAGGGTAGCGTTCCAGAAAATAGTAATCAATATTCAGCACATAATTACCTTCAACTAACTAATTTACTCATCGTATCCCGCAAAGTAAATCAAACTTGCCTCCAGAAATTCATCAAAAATTATTCCAACTCAACTCCTGATGACTCTATCGTAGTTAAAACGGCACTTATTTGCACTGAAAACATGACCGGATTATGCTACTGATGGGGACGTCAGTGCAAAACGACAGTGAAAAAAAAAATCCACTACTTCATTTATACGGTTGTTACACTGATTTGAGAGAAACATAGCAATAAATGCAATATAAATGAGCGAATCAGGACAACATACGTTGAGTGGTACAAGGATGCAAAAGAGAAGAAAGAGTGACAAAAGGAAATGGATGAGGGCACCTGCTCGATATCCCTTTCCACCGGACCATTCCTATTAAGATCTGAAGCCATCCTATCCATCCTCGACATCAAGCTTTCTTCCTTTAGAACCCTCAAAATCTAAATAGTTAACTTTTGGTCACCCATTCTCAAAACCAAGCGCTTCCATTGACCAATTCCTGCGATAAGCCGCTTACTCTCCACCTAAAACTCAATTTGAACGAACAATTCCAATCTACAATACTAAAACCATCCATCTCAGCTACACAGCTCCAGTCCGATTCATCCAGCCACCGCTCTGAAACTGCACTGAATCCGAAGCACTGTAGCTGCAAAATATTGATTATCTCGGCTGAATTGGCTCAGGCTACAGGCTGCTTCAACGAGTTGACAGGAGAATATTACAGCTAGGTTTACAGAATCGAAATGACCGAAAACAGAAGTGAAACTCCACGGATTCGCGTGAACAGGCCACAGAAGTTGAAGTTATGCCTCTGACTGTATGAGAACAAGTACCTGACCGAGAAAGTGCAAGAAAACTGGGAGCTATGATCTGATTCGGAGTTGCAGGGAAGAGAGAGAGAGTAGAAAGTCGAGGAGAGAGAATGACAGAGAGTGTAGAGCAGACGAATAGAATGAATTGTAAAAAGTATTAAAAAATAAAAAAAAATATTTGCTGTTCGTTCGGAGCTTCGGAGAGAGAGCTCCAGCTTAATCCGAACAGATGGAAATAAAAAGGAATAATATTTTTAAAAAATATAAATTTCATTTTCATGGTGACATTTACAAGTTTTTACGTAATATATATAATATATATTCTTTAGTACGAGATAGACGTGGGATGAGGATTTAATCTCCAATATTAAGAAATAAGCCAGATTTTTTAACTGCGCTGGTGTAATATATATACTTAGTCCATGAATTTTTACAATTTTATTTATTGGGCCTCAATTTAAAAAAATATCTAATAAATTTTTAAATTTTTTATTTTGTGTTTGCTGGGTCCCTATTATATGTTATCTTTTTAAATTCATAAATTTGTAAGAAATATAATTAAAATGTCATGGTCTAATAATTAAAAAAAATTATGGTTTATCATACATGAAATTAAAAGGGGGAATATGCTAGAATCTATTAAACACAAAACTTAGTTTTTGGACGTACTAGATATTTTTTTTTTAATTAAATCACCTTTCAAAGTTTGAAATTTCTTGAAAATTTGTAATTTAACCAAAAACATACTTTTTTTAATAATATAATATTTTAATTTTAACCCTATAATTAAATGAGTTGAGTTATTCTTAGGTTGACATATATAATAATAATATTTCAAAAGCTTTAATTTAATTCCATGGGTTCTTTTTTAGTATTACAGCTAAAATATTGGAGTGATGAGCAAACTTAGGAAGATTATTAAATTGATAGCATCACCTTGAATTATTATTATACCCAAAAACTTTAGTGGTTAGATTAAGGGGTTGTTTGTTTATGAGAATGTAGATGTCTTGTGTCTCCAAATGTTTGAAATTTCGTATGCTTAAAATTTTAGATATTGGGTGTGTTTATTTTGTGGAAAAATTTATAAGTAAGAATATTTAGTTCGTTAGGTTTGTTTGTTCAAAAATTGTCTCACGAATATTAATATAATTTATACACATTCAGATTTACTTTTTATTAATTTAATATTTTATTTTTTATTAAATTATTTTGTAGATCAAAATAATTCATATTGTTTTAAAATAACAATTAATATTAAATATAAATTTTATTTTCAAACTTTAATATTTTTCTATAAAGACAATTATATAATTAATCTTATCTTGAGTGAATTTGTTCATCATATTATCAAACTATATTTTGTAAGAATAAAATATAAAATATGAATACACTAATCTATTTAAATTATAAAAAATAAATATAAAAGAAATAGATGAAAGAAAATATATGAAAAATTAATAAGGGCAAGAAATGAAGAGTGACAATGCCCTCAACGGGAGTTTAAAAAAAAAAATTTAAAGGTAAAATAAAATTCAAATCTAATTTTAAAATTTTGATTCCTTAAACGAAAGTTTGCACTCTCTTTTAATTTAATCCCTCAATTTATGGCAAATACTTAGTTTCGATGATGCAAAGATTTAAAGTAAAAAATTATAATTTTATTTACAAAAAATATTACACTAAAAATAAATGATGAACTATCTTGAAATATATTATATATATCTCGAGTTATTTAACTATGTATAATATGTTAGGTTTAAATCCTATTTTTTATCTTTATATTTCTTAAATACCTATTTTTTCTATCTACTTTCAACTTTGTTCATTTCAATATTGTAAAGCATTCTCAAAACAAAAAGTAACGATTTTGGTCACTCTTTACAAAATTTTAATACAAATGAAAATCATTTAATATAAATTTATGGCTATATTTCAATATGATCACTACGTAACATTTTAAAATTATAATAATAGAAAAGAAAAATTAGAAATATAGATATCAAACTAGACTTGGTAAAAATACATTGACCGAAATTAACTAAAGTCAGAAGTCGTATTTAAGCGAATCGTATATCCCATGGAAGTATTAACGAAAGGGAAAAGAAAAGTTGAGATGAAAAGTGACAATGGGCACGATATTTTGTCAAATTTTGGATGTTGACACTTGCCCTTTCCATTTTCCGTCGGTTGGACCTTCACACGTGCCCCAGCAACGGCCTCCATTTTTTCCATTTCTTTTTCCACTTCCTTGCAGTTTCCATAATTCTATTTATCCAAATATATATCTATTATCATTAACTTAAAAGGTTTGTTAGTGTTTTAAATTTTTTTATTTTATCTCGATTTAAATTTGGTCCATGGACTATGGTCGTTCATGTACTTTGGACTATGGTTCATTTTTGTCCATGTACTTTTTAAATGTTGATTTTAGTTAATGTAATTTTAAAAAAAAAAAGTATGTTTTGATTTTTGTATTTTTAAAAATTGACAAATGTAGTCTCTATTTACAAAGTTTTAAAACAAAGTTTATATACAATAGATAATCCTTTGATACAAAATCATCGCTATACTTAAAAAAAAAATTAATAAGTGAAATCTCATGTTAAAATTATGATTGAAATAAATAATATGAGATGAAAACGAAATGACCAAAATAGTCTTTGCTTAGAAGTATAGAGACTCAAATGTACGTCTTAAAACTATAGGGACTAAAATGAACAAAAATAGAAAATATAGAAACTAAAATGAACCAATAGTGAAAGTACATTGACTAACAAGTATTTAAGCTTAAAACCTTTTATATATTAGGTATAGAGTTTTTTTGTCCATTAAATTCTTATGTCACGGATTATTAAAAATAAACGATAAAATGATAATTTTATGCTATAATATATTTTATTAATTGAGTTGTTGACTAAGATGTCGTGAGTTTGAATCCTTTATCCCCAGTTGTTGTACTAAAAAAAATAAAAATTGAGTTGTAAATAATATAAATTTTAATTTGATGAAACTTGAGGAAAGAAATATACTATTTATCTATACGTGAAGGAAAAAAAAAACTCAAGTGTTATGTGACTTAGCACTTAGTAACTTGCTTGCCCCAAAATTGCTCGTTTGGTAGAAAACTAACCAATTAAACTGTTGTTATACTAATAATTAACAACGGTATAAAATTGTCAAATCGGACATAGTTCAAGGGGTTAAGATATCTATCTCTGATCAAAAGGTCCTGTATTCAAATCTCATCCCCACATATTTTACTCAAAAAAATAAAAATAAAATAACAACGGTATAAAAATTATTATTTTTTATATATGCATCGTCGTTCTTTTAACGTTAGGCAATCGTAAGGATCTAATTAAAAAAATGCAACATATAAGATTTCGAAATTGAAACAAAGATTAAAGCTCCAAAAATAAAAATTTAAAAAATATATTTAACCTTTTTATTTAAGCGTAGAAAATTAGAAAAAGAAATATGCGAATACATGCCAATAGAGTTGGAGCATCATTATATAATAATTTCGTTTTTATTTAAAAAAAACATAGAATTATTTATTGATATCAATATAACGACAAATATTGAAAATGTGGCAACTTTGTTGTCTAAAATTAAAAAAAAAATAATGAGGCAAAATTATATAATATTATTAAATAAAACATCAAAATCGAGCAAACGTTAACATCAACTTTGTTATTAGAAAAAGCTATTGTTTTGGTAACATAAATACATCTCTTTTACAACTTAATTGCATTTTGAGAACAAAGGAATGAATGGCTAAATTAAAGCAACAAGAAATCAAAATTTAAATTTTATAATAGATCAAGAAAGATCTCAAGTCAAATACATAAATGAAAACATGATAGGCATTATATTATGGATTTGTTTAATTAATCCAAGGTTGAAAAGCTTGAGTTTATATGATTCACATTTGCATTGTGTTAAGAATGAGATTCAAAAGTTTGAATCATGTGGTTCATATTTCATTGGTGGGTTGTTTAAGATCTGTAAAATAGGAAAGAAAAAAAAAGATAAAAAAGTATTGAGTTTCGTAATAGATGAAAAACTCGTGAATTCGGATGGCTTTGCGATAAAGTGCTTTCTTCACAATCATTTAGAGTGCTTTCGTTTATTTTTAAAGAATTTTCAAAATCACTTTTAACTACGAAATCAAACACCGCAAATTTTTAAAAAGTACTTTTAATTGGCAAAAACGATCTTTCACTATTCTAAGGGTCGTATCCAAAAGTTATCCTAAACATAAGCTTGATTTCATAGTAATACAAATCAACTCACGAGTCAAACACTGTAAAAATTTCGAAAAAAATACTTTAGTATAGGGAATTTTCACTGTTCCAAACGTCGCACCAAAACTCACTATAAATGTAAATGCAACTTCTTCTAAGTTATAGAAATCTAATCAATGAGCCAAACACTCCAAGAAAAGTCAATAAGAGAGAAACCTCGACCAAGTTATAGAAATTTGACTTGTGAGTCAACACTCATACGAAGAACGAGCAGTTTAGAAAAAAAAATAGCTTAGAAAAACCCGAAGGAGAGAGAGAGAGAAAGAGAGGAGAGAGAGTTTTGTCATACCAAGTTTTGATTACAAGTAGTGAAGAATGAGAGCAACAATAAGGGTGAGGGGGTGGGTACACTTTTTAGAAAGTGGGTTGTGAAAGTGAAGGTGATGGTGATGGAGGCCACAAGCCCCTTTGTAAACTTCCTTTTTCCAAGTCTTCCAAGTGGTCCTAATCCCCACAACCCCACCCTTTTTTTTCTCTAAATCTTGAGGTGTAAATGAAGCCCCAACAGTGGCCACCATCCATTCAATGCTTTGATTGATCTCTCACTCAACAGTCTCATGTTTCCAATAATTCCTCAGTTTTCTTGTAAACTGAGCACTCTTCTTTTTGTGTGAAATGTGCTTATCAGAGCCTCACCCTGGCCCCCCCTCCATTTGCATCCTCCCCACCCACATGATGAAAAGCCACTGTGTCCCTTTCATGCCATTTTGTAGACTCATCTCAACATTTATCTCTGCAACTTTTCTTTTCTAGCCATTCTTGAGGTAATTAATGGTTCATGCGACCGTGCGTCGGGGGAGGTGGAGGTAACGCTTTTACATTAACGACATCTCTTGACTGACTGATCGACAATGACAATACATGCAAGAATTAAGCAGAGTTTGACGCGAAATTCATGTGCCGGGACGTGTAGAGATAGGACAATCACTGCAAAAATTTCTATTGGAGTCATACAGTTTAATGATTGTGATTTAGATGGGATAGTCCCCAAGTGCTAACAAATTTGATGATTGTGCGTGTGGCTGAGAAATCATTCTGAAAATTCTTGGTAGATAAGTGAGCTATTTTCATAATTAATGGGGTCTTTCTGGTCTGCTACATATGTTATCATGGAATATAATAATATGTCAAGCAAGCAAATACACTAAAAAAATCTAACAGAGGCATGTTTGGGCATGGCATGTGGTGAGTACCCCTTTTGGTGAACAAATAAATAGCTCAAAATGTAAGATCTGACATATTAGTTAAGACTTCCAAACAGTGCCTTGAAACAAAACTATCGAGTCGCAAATGGACGATGCAGTTATAATACACTGTCGATGCTTCTGTCAATAAAACAAAATTACACGAGTACGAATCGACGTGACCAGAAACCGAACCCGATAGGAGATCCACACGCAAAAACAGAAGGGAGAGGAGAGAAGATAGACTTCACCTTGTCGCATTTTCCTCAGAAAGACAGTTATAATGAAGGCTCTGTACTTATACACAAGAGAGGAGAGGGAGAGGGAGAGAACCTGACAGCCAGAATCTGCCTAAGGTTTGCTGCAACTCACTAATATTGCTACCCAATTTACAGTAATTCCAAACTATGTACTCTGAGTCTCGAGATCCCGCCAAACTTCTACTATTGCTCAATCCAACGATGAACTGGTATCATCAGCCTCATCGACAGTGAAGCTGTATGGCATCTCCATTGTGGATCTACATGACATGTGCTGTTGTTAATACATAACTCATTAAAAATCTCCAAGGAGAAACATTCATGTCTTGTAGCTACAGTGCAGGAAATATATAGAGCAAATTTGACCAGATTGAAGGTGAAGGCAAGAAGGCTATAAATACCAGCTGTAATTGTATTTCTTTCTCAACCATTGATTAGGTTTATAGTTATGATATCCATGCAGCAACTGCTCAGTAGCTTCAGTCAAAACAGAAAGAAGAAAGTACACTCTGAGGTGGATCTAGATGTTTGCCTGTTCTGTATACAACACTTCAAAGCATATCTTAAGGTGGCAGCAAAAAGATTCCCAACTCTCCAAAAAGATTCAATTGTGATGGGCCTTAGGGCTTAAGAAAATTTGGGTGCCATCCTTGTGAGTCTTTTGCTAATTAAAGTTTAGAACTTGCTAAGCAAGCCACCAATTCCATTTGGGAACAGTGAGTCTCTGAAAAGGTCTAACTTGTCTGTGTGGTCGCCTTAGTTTCAAGGGGTTTAAACACCGCAAAATAGGGTCCAAAAAAGACATCCTTAAATGTACCTACATCGCCCCCAGTTGGCGTTACTCAAAATCCAGAAGATCTTGATTGTCTGTTTCTGTATCGCCTTTCTTGGTGCCTTACCACAGAAAGCTTCAAGTGCGTTTTGGACTCTGTTAGGCTTTTGAGTTCTTTGTGGTTCTTTACTCTTACAATTATTTTAATAATATATTTTTTCAATTTATACAAACTGGAACTCCTTTCTGTAGAGCTATATTTCCCATAAGAGGACACCTTGTATAGTATTTGTTTCCTGTTTAATGGACTTTCTTATCCAGAAAAGAAAAATTCTAACTACTTCCAACCAAAATTGATCAAACCATCATCATCAAGATGAATCTTTTCCCTACATTACATGAATATGCACAATAGTTTACAGAAAATGCAAGATAAAAATGAGAACCTCAACAGTATGAACAAGAAGTTGCATGCTACTAGCAATTGTTACTTCGACTGACCTTCTAATATGATTCTTCCGCCCCAGTTTTTCAGAAAATGATGCTTTTACAGCATAGTCAGGCCGAGGGAAGTCCAACTGACATCGATTTGCGACCTTGATATATGAGAAGGGGAAGTGTTAGCAAGGAAACCACAATGTTATAACATTATGCAGAACATGACCGCGCTTAAACTCACAGCAATTTCATTTGTTGATGGGATCTTTCCTCTGACTGGATCACTACATTCATTTACTTCCTTTTCTTCGCCATTGAATATTTCCTATATAAGCACTTCAAAAATTAGAAATCTTCAAGATGGATATTACCAAAGTTGGTCCTTGGAAAAAATAATATAGGTATTAAGTACAGACCTTGGACATCTTTTTAGAATTATAGTCCAAATAGCCACTCTTATAAAGACTTTTCGGGCCGGCACTACCATGATTATGCAGCTGCACCTCTGTCTGTTCACTAGCAACTTTTGAAGTATAGGAGCCATGATTGTTGGAAACAGAATCAGTTCTACTTCTCGGAATGTTATAGGTAGAGCTCATTCTATGATCCCTTTTGCTACTATTTGAAAATGTTAACCCGCCGGATTCCTCATACATATTCAAGGGAGAGTTCTGGCGGGGAAAAGGATTGGTTTTGTTGTAATAGTTGGAACTTTTCTTTAATTGTTTGGTAGAATTCTTGTCCTGAGACTCAGGTCTACATGTAGTGCTGGTGGGGATTGCTTCCTCCATATATGAGTCCTGAGAACTCATATTTGAACTATGTACTTCGTACCTCTGCAGAGCAATCAAAGCGAGTGGCAAGAGAAGGATTAGGAGAATATTATCTTCGACATCCATTCACTGATAATCACAAAATATTTACAAATTTATCACATGTATTAGAGCTCATATTACAGTGTGTGTTTAAACTATTGGAACAGGATTTCAAAATATTAAAGCATCACAACACTAAATTGAACACGACCACAGCTTCTATGATATGGAATTTTAGGGTTCCAAAAAAGGTGAAATTTTTCCTATGGACTCTCTTTTATAGGAGCACAAACACAGCCGAGAGAATACAAAGTAAGCTCCCCCATTGGACGCTCTCCCCTTCGGTTTGTGGTCTCTGCCTAAGAAATTCAGATTCGGTGGATCATATTTTCATCCACTGTTTTTTTGCCACTCGGGCTTGGAACTATATGGCTTCGCTTTTGGAATTCTCCTTCTATCTTCCTAAACATATAGATGACTTCATAACGGAAGGATTTGGTGGGGTGGCGCTCAAAGGCAAAGCTGCGATCCTATGGCAGTGTGCAGCGAGGGCTCTCCTTTGGCATCTTTGGAAGGAGAGAAATAGTAGACTTTTTGAGGACAAATCTGTCCCTTTAGATTCTTTTTGTGTGAATACAAAGCATACAGCTTCTTGGTGGGTCACAATCCACAAGAAGGCTTTTGGAAACTACAGTCTTTTTTTGATTTCACAGGATTGGAAGAATGCGATTGTATAGTTCTCTTTGGGGAGGGTTCTCTCTACCCTCCGCCATTAGGTTGTTCTCGCCTTTTTGGGCTCTTTTGATTTGAATGCATTCTCTTTGTTTCTTATAAAAAAAAAAAACACTAATGTTTCATCCTTGACTGTGATAGAAGTTGCTTCTTCTTTAGCTCTCAAGCTTCTCCAAGTGTGATTCTTCTAATTGTGCGTTCTCCATTTTATTCCAGTTATAGTCTCAACTCAATATTAAAAAACAAATTTACGTGAGCAGATTATGAAATTTTTTCTTCTGGAAAGGAACACACTTTAGGAACACTTGTAGAGTAAATTTTCTGCACTCCCAGATGAAGCAAAAACTTATCATCTTTACTCCATAGACCATGAATGAAAAATCCATTTCAAACACTGATCCGGATCCGGAAAGATTACAAATATATGTGAGTGAGTGTATATTTATGACTTAAATAGACTGCACCATTGTCATGCTTAAATAAAAGCATATAAAAGGAAATATTTTCAGGTCCTTCCAGTGCATGGATCATAGATTTACCAATAAAATGTGGGATTAACTGGAGAGAATAGGAAGATGACAGAGTAGTACAAGATAACGCCTTTAAATCTGACACACATTAATTGCATTATTATATATCATGAAATTCAAAACTTTATCTTAACTCCTAATTCAGTATTAGTAGGGCCACATCAAACAAAATCCAAATAAAATGTTGAGAAAGCCATTATAAAGGTCCACTTACAGAGCCAAGAGCTCTTTGTTTCTTCATTGTCAAAACGTCTGGAGAACGGGGAAGTATGGGGTTTCCGACATAGTACGAATCTGTGAAATATCCATCAAACAATAGCTGTGAGACTCAATGAAATTTTGATGTGACAGTTCAACAAAAATCATTGGAAATAAAACCCAGAAAAAATTCTTCATACTCACTAAAACATGACAGAGATTCAGTATGGGATAAACGGATAAAGCACTTAAACTAAGAGTATCTCAACTGATGGAGGCCCTGTAAGTTTATGACATTGTGCTCATTGGATACATGATTATTTCTTTAAATATTACTAAAATCCTAACATTAAAATCTAGTCTGATGCTCACTCCCAGATCTTCATACTTTTAAGAGCCTTCTCTCTCCAATTCCCTCTACAACCTGTGTCAGGGAGGGAGAGTTATTCCCTGAATCAATAGAATATCACAGAATCTATAATACTAAAAATAATTTATTTTTTCTTCTTCTTGTGTTACCAGTTTTTCATTCCCTTCAATTTATCCATTTTTGTTTTAGTAAGTTAGGGACAAGGTTTACAGTGGTAAACTTTGCCTCATAAATGTGGTATGTTCTTTAGCATTTAAAAATCTTAGCAATTAATTGTGAAAATAGAAATCTATCCATACTTTGTTGATAGCAATCCAATCTTGTAGTAGTTTAGTAACTTCCATCTATCATCAGAACCATATTATGTTATGCACATCAAATTGCATGTTCGAACATTACTAATACTCTGACTAATACATGAATTACTTAATAAATACATACCAATTAATAATGTTTGAGGGCACAAAACTAAAAACATTTTTATTTACAAGTACCAATTAATATGCTATATTTAAGACTACTATGAAAAAAATATAGGCCAAGAAAAAAAGGAACATTGTAAACATTAAAATATAATCTACTGTTTTACCATGGATTGGACCTTTGGCTGGGGACTCAAATGCACCAGGAGGAAGAGGCTGGAATTCAACACCAAGCGACGGACCATCCTCCCGGTATTGCACACCCAACTGTCTCTTCACAGCAGTAATAGCAGCATTTTCCACTTCGCCCTTCACTTTTAAATAGCCTGATGGTTTATATCGCAGGGAGTTTAAAACCTTAGGATTTGATGGAGGAATAGCACCATCATGTGTTAAATACCGTGAAACTTCTGTATCATATGGATTCTCACTTTGAGATAATAACCTATCTTTTAAAGAAGAGCTGCTTTCTGAAGATGTATTATCCATATTACTAACATTTTCTGTAAATTGATTCCTACGCTCAATGACATTATCTGAAGCCGGAAGCTCATGGCCATAAGGCTTTTGACTTTCAACTTCACGAGGATCAATATGCCAATAGTCTCCATTTTTCGTGCTACCACATGAATCTTGTGCAAGCCCACTGCCATGATCTTGAATAACACCACTGGAACGATCCTGCCGTACACTTGCATATGTTTCACAAAATCTTTTGTCTTTTAATCTTCTGTGGCAGAACCATCCAGATATTTGCTTTTCAGTCAACCCCAGCTGCTCCGCAAGCTGTGATTTCATTTCCTCTGTAGGATACTTGTGTTCTGGACATTGGGAAAAAAAAAACATTTTTTCAGATTAAAGGAACTACAAACAACCTAGAGAGGAAGATTTGACACAAAGATGTACTCTTACCATTATAGAACTTCTCTAAAGCAATCACCTGGTTAGGTGTCTTGAGCTTTCGTTTCTTGTTCTTCTCAGCCAAATCTTTATTCTCCTCAGAAGGCATAACGCTACACAACTCTAAGTTCAAGAAAAAGAATAATTCAGTGAAAATAAATGAAAAAAGTGATCAGTCATGGTTCCAAGTCCACATATCCAGCTATAAATATTTCCCACTTTCATCTGCTAGAGTTTATGAATAGCCTAAACCATGTATATATGTCAAAGCATCACACATTTATTTTCTTAAAGATTTGTAATTAATAAATGTGGCCTCATATATAACCACACCAAAGCAGTAAACTCTATGCAGTCACCAAAATGTCAAACTCTAAAGCTTCAATTGAGTCTGAGATAATAGCACTCCCATCTTCGGATAAGACTTAAGAGATAAAGATGTTAAGCACATGCCTTTCGTATCAAAGTTCAAACATACATCATTTTTGTGTTTGTTTCACGCAAACTGCAAACGTCTAAAATCCAGCACAGAGTCAGTAAATGAAGATAAGATAAACGGATCTTGTTTGGGACCTAACAATGTTGTTTCAAATAAAATACCTGGTATATCTAAAATGTTATGGTTTAAGATATGAAGCTTCAATAAGATTTTATGACTTAATACACCCTCCAGTATGGTGAGGATTAGATCAATCATAATGAATCAACCTTCGTTTTCTTCTGTGCAAAGGTATAAGCATCAGGGGGAGGATTTGAAACCCAGATAGAAACTTGGCCATAGCCCACACCTTCATGCTGTGAGCATGAAGATTATCATCCATTTGCCACAGAATAGCTTTCAGGTAGTGGCAGTGAACAGACAATAGATACTCAACTCAATCTTTTGGCTCATTCCAATAACTGATGAAATAAATCTCCCAACACTCAGCTACTCACTAGAAAGGTATTGATAGAAATGCAATACTTGTAAGAATCAAAGAACAGAAATAATTCAAATGGAAGGGAAAGAAGGATTGGATTAAAGCAGATATGCATGCATCCTTTGCATTGAAATAACAATGATAAAATAGAATGAGAACTGATTGGGAGTTGTACCATGGATTTGGCACGGTGGCTACCATGACCACTCCTTGCCAAGCATTTTGCAGGACAACATCAAGCATTTAAATGGGAAAATCAACCCACAAAATCAACTTTCGGTTTGGTTATTCATCCGATTGATCCAACATATTCTAAGTTTCTAACAACAAATCAACTAACTCAAACTCAGATGATATTCCAATGACACAAAATAAAGATTATGGAAACGAGGATATCAGGCTATCAGCCTAAAAGAGAATAAAAAGGAGGGGTCAAGCAGGAAGAAATGGACAACATCAAACGGGATTGATCACTGCTAGCCAAGCTTCTTGCAGGACAAAATCAAGCATTTAAATGGAAAAATCAACCCAGGGCAAAATCAACTTTCTGATTGGTTGTTCATCCAATCAAATGATTTCTAAATTTCTAACAACAAACCAACTAACTCAAATTCAGATGATATTACCATTGGAAACAAGGACATATACTTAAAAGGGACCGTGTCTTAGAACTCGTGAAAACCGACAAACAAAACCCAAAAGAGAGAAACAAAAAGGGGGGTCAAACAGCAAGAAAAGCAAACATGTAAAATCGTTCAACTCAGCTCTCTGGTTAACCAAACACCCCCCTCATCATTACAGAAAACTCCCATCGTCCAAACAAACACGAAGAAATTGTCCCAAACCCAACACAAAACAAATCCAATTCCACGGCTGTAACAAAATAAAAGAAGGAACTTGTAATGAAGATACGAAAACAGAAGAACCCATTACACGATCTGATGAGTAGAGGAAAATACCTTCTTCCATGGTGAAAAATTTCTTCGATTGCTTATCTCATCCCCCCTGTCTCTCTCCTCTGCTCTGTCCTACTGCTATATTTTGGCATCTATTGACCCAAAAAGAGAAACCCATCTAGCTAAGAAGATTGAAGCATAAGACAATGTGAGATGGGTTGCACAAATTCCTCTGTTTGTTTAATTAACACATAATTAACAAACCAACCCGGAAAAGAAAAGTGGGGAATTTTAGGATGAAGGTGAAGCGGCAGAAAGAAGAATTCTCTTTGGTTTTCCGTATGGGGTTTCTTGTTGCAATAACTATTTACAGTCAAAATTTTTCTTTTGCTTAGAATTAAATCCATTTTTGGCTCTTTTGTCATGTTTATCTTCCTCCCAATGTGACCCGTACGAGTATCTTCTGCAAGAAAAGCAAATTTTTTAAAGGGAAATAAATAGTGACGAGGAAATGGTCCCTTTTTCTTCAGGCACATCTAATTCTAATTCCCAGTTTCTTCCAAAATTCATCTATTTGGGCTGGGTTTTCCTGTCCTTTGGGCTCTCTCTCCTCTTCCCTCACACCTAATTATTCGACACAATTTTTTCTCTCTTTTTGAAGCGGTATTCGACAAAACTTTTGTGCACAGTTAAATGCTTGGGGGGTGGAAACTTGAAATTGAGAGGTTGAATCTTAATCTTAGGTTATTTATTCTGCTTTTAACTATTTTCTTCCATTTTTCTACTCCAACTCCAACGTAATATAGAATTTGATTGAGTGGGTTGAGCATAATCAAAACGTTGGAGCTTCAAATCTCCAACACTAAAAGAAAACAG